TTTTTTTTTACAACACGTAGACATTTCAAATAATGTACTTGAAATAAAATACATATTTAAAATTAGAATGGGAAAATACAATGCAAAATAAAACATCACAACCTGGAAGTCAAAGTATTTGAAAAAGTTGCATTTCACATTCAATGGTATATTTTTGAAATATTTACTTATTGCTACTCATTTACCAACTCCTTTGCGCAAAGCTCCACCCCCCCCCAGCAAAGTACTAAGAGCTTGGTATACTAGCAATGATATTTTGGACAATGATCTTACTGTCCAATTTAATACTGTAAAATCCCTTAATCAAATTAATAAATGATTTACCTTAAGCAAGTATTTCTACATTCCACTTTGATCTCTCAATCAGATGTTATGGAATCTCATTAGAACATAATTTTTCCACTTTTAAACCTGGAATTTCTGATCTGTCTGACTGCATGTGAAAAAATGCAAAGGGAAAACTAATTTTGTGACATTACTACTGTATAGACGTTGCTCACTAGGCTTTAAAGTACTCACCACCCTCTCACAAATCTATAATCAGTGTTATATTAAAAGAAGATAAAGAAAAGAAAGGAAACATGGAGAGTCTAGTGAAAGAAAGGATAATATGTTAGTTTTAGCAACATACACATAACCAATCAGGTCAGCGAAGGGTTGTTTGTAGAAAGCTTCATCCAGCACCCTAGACAGTAAGAAGTCCGAGAGGAAAGCAGCAAGCAGGAGAGAAAAGAGAAGGCAGTAAAAAGGAGAATAAAAACATGTGTATGAAATCTGGAAAATTCTGACATCATTCAAGGAAATATAAAGATCAAAAGGAGCTAAATGTAAGTTAAACACATACTGTACAGTATGGAATTTAGCCTCAGTACAGTATCCGAGTTCTCAACCAAAATTGAAAGGCATTGCAATCCTGTTGCAAAGTTGTTGCAAAAAGAGGGAAAATGTAGCCAAAGATGTTTTCACTAGTAGATACCACAGAAAAAGAAACTCTTGAAAATGTCTAACAAATAAATGCATACAGAGAAGGATGTCAAACACAATATAATCATATAGGCAAAAAAATACAACTCGAACTGAAAATGCAATACTAATAGGTTTCTCTTATCATAAAATGTGTGTAAGCTGTACTCAGCTGAGCTCTTCAGGAGAATGAAAGTAAACCTATTCATCATGGCTCCCTAATATGAACTCTATGCAAGGAATGTACTGAAATGTCACTGATTAACAAGACTGATAAAATCTACACAACATGGGAGAACGAATGTCTATTACAAGCAGCAGAGCTCACATTCATATAGTGTTAAGTTAACCTCACCTCTCATATTCTTCCAGTGTCATGTATTGTTCCAAAACAAGCAGGTTTTCTTTTAAACTTTTTAGCCTACTTACTCATGCCAACCTTCTGTAAACTGAAATACACACTATATGATTTATCGGTGTTGTCAACAACTACAAAAACTATCCTAAGTTCAATAAAGCAAGTCTCTTACGTAGAAAATATTTTTGTATTCAAATATATAAAAGTGTGGAATGATCAGTGATATACTGTTCCCTGTGACACTGTTCACTCTTGGATACTCAGAAACAGAATGCAACATGTTACCTGTTGTTGACTTTTGTTTTCTCCAGCTGCTCATCCTGTCTCGTATACCACTCTTCCAGCTCCACCTTTGCCTTCTCTTTCCACTCTGTCTCCTGCTTACGGGAATTTGCATCTGTGAAGGGGAGGAGAGGCTGAACTCACATCAACATGCCAAAGTCATGATAACACTTACATATGAACTGCATATGGAAAGGAAACAATTCTATAACCCTCCAAGTATATTTGAATTGTCTGTGTACTGACATGAAAAAAATTGCACAAAGGAGTGCCACACTCAAAAACACTCAGGAGAGGAGACTCTGTTTCCATATTTTCCAGAAATCATTTTCCCAATTTTAACAAAATTAATTTTTAGAATACTCCAACTATAAATTCCTGTAAACTATTAGTTATCATCTAGCCTTCCCTTCCTAAATTATCTTCTGGTGTTTAACTTCACAACAGAGAAATAATAACGAGAAAGTGAATAGAATTTAAATATTCATGTTTTTAAAACTGTTGGAACTTTTTCTAAAAACATGCAAACTTTGACCATTATTCCCACATGATTACAAAGTTGGCTAGCACACAAAGGTCAAAGTAATCGAATTAAAGTTCAAAGAAAAAATCTTTTTTATTTTCCATTTAAAATAGCAACAGAATTTTAAAATCAATAGCGGGCTCAAGTAGGAGTAAGTGTGCGCTACTCAGCAGATGTGAATAATTTCTGCCATCATTAGGACCACATTAAAGGCTGATCTGTGTTTTGGATTTTTTGTAATTAGATTTTATATTAGAAAGAAAGTCACTGTCATAGTTTAACTACACAACAGAACTTAATTTAGGAAAGGCATCAAGCTGAATTCACAAATTGCTGTCTGTTTTTAGATGGAGTTTTAAATTCACCATCTCATTTCTAAGTGTCCCAGAGAATAAAATACAATACAGTTATCCACAGCTTAAGGTTGTAAATAAGCAAATGGTTTTATATAAAATGCTTTATATATATATATAAAAAAAGCATTTACAATATCTCAGGTAGAGTGGAGGTTATTTGAAATGAAGCATGATGCATTTGGACAACAGATTGCATGTGCTGCAAAACTCACACCAGACAGATAAATGCAGTACACTCATTGTCATTTACAAATAAAATCAGTATGTTAGGTCAGGCAGGCAGCTAAATATTATTGGCAATATACTTTACACCTGAGATTTTTAAAACCATCTTTAATGACAGAAGCTTTAGTGATAAGCCATTGTTTTTTTCCATACTTTTTATATCCTCCAGAACATGGTTTATAAATGTATTTCTCACACCTTCACTACTTGCATCTGAACTCTAACTTGCAATAGGATGTCAGCAAACTGTAACAAGACAATGTCCAAAGATAGATAAAAAACTGTACATTATAAATTACCTGATTTAAGGCTGTACTGTACATAGGAATGCAACACAAAAAACAAGTGTTGAATCAGATCTCGAAATGTTTGCTACCTTTTGTTTAAGAACAATGAAAATATATATTTTTTTATTTGGAAACCAAACTTGGTTATAGTTAAAGAGTACAAAAATACTAATGATGCCAATGGCAAACATCCAAATCCTAAGCTACTTTTTACGGTACTTTTTCAAAGTTTAAAAAAATCCTGTTTATCACCCACCACCCCCAACGCTGCTGCAGCAACACATCTACAATACATATACACGCTTACTGCTTGTTGGCTGGCCCCCTGTTCTGTCACAATCCAATTCTCTCTCTTAAAAAGTGAGAAAATGACTCACTGTCACAAAACTTATTGCTATTCTTTCTCCTGTGAACCTCCCACCACCAAGAAATGTGAAAAAAAAACAAGAAATCAAAAGTTACTTGTCTGCAATTATTATACACCGATCCAAATTTCCAATCATAAGCACTACTGTGGTAGCTGATAATGAGATTTCTCCTTCTGTGAATTATAATACTTGGACTTCCAATTGTATGACATGACATGCATGTCAAATCCGAACTTCCACATGCTTCGAGTTAACTTAGTAAAACGTTCCCAACAGTAATGCTGTTCACTTCATGTAGCCCACAGCAGTCTGATCTGGGGTGCCGATACCTGACTTTTGTAACAGATTTTGTCTTAAAACTGTTCCAAAAAACAAACAGATGCATATTGGTCATAGAATATAGTATAGTAAAGTATATTTTGGCAATAAACCAGATTCTTTAATTTCTAGATCAAAAACTTCTCTCAACACCTGTGTAGGATAAGGGTGACTTGGAATGTCATGCATAGATGGCAGCTAAGTAACGTTTTACTGTGAAAGGTGATTTACTTTTGTCAAAGCTGTCTTGTAGAAATTAGAAAATGGCCTGCAGGGTAAACAATGCAGTAGCTACATACTCTACAGGTTAAAAACTCCCACTTCTATACTGGTGTACTGGTTGTGTGTGGAGCCTGCCTTGTCACTACAGTATTCAAGTCACATTATCAGACACCCCTAGTGACTCAGTATGATTTTGTGAAGCACAAAAGACAGAATAAATTAAAGACAATAAATGGTACAAACTGAAATTAACAATATTTCTAATTCTAGAAAGGACAAAACAAAAAAAAAGCAATTAAAAGAAGAAAAAGGGGAAAAAGAAGTATACTTATAGCTAATGTGGTCTTGGATCAAGAGGGTTAAAATGGTGGATTTTGGCATAGCTGCTGAGGTATGTGCATTAGCTTTTATATAGAGAACTCACTCACAATTAGATTAATAGGAAAAAATATCCAATGGGTGTTAATTATGTTGCATATTTGAAGGGGAGCACACAATATTTGAACCAACACTACCATCACTCACCAAGAACCTCCAGGCGCTCCAGTTGCTCCTCTCTCCATTTGCGAAGACTCTCAGGCTCCGACTGCAGACGGTCTACCTGAGATATGGCTGCATATGCGTCTGAGGGACCGTTGCTCTCCTGCACCAGGGAAAACAACAATTAGCCTGCGAGACAAAACACACAGCTACAGCAAGATAACCTCAGAAATGACAGCAACAGAATCCCGAACTCTCCTCTTTTGTGAACATGTGAAGACAAATTGCCAACAAGAAAAATCCAGTATTTCTACACAGGTCTACCACCCCATCAACTGCACCCCAATCCACTGAACACCTTTACTCAGCTTGGGGACAAAAGTGACCTTTAATGCCTTTGTTGCAATATAATTATATAGGAACAAGTAATAGGTTTATTCATGCTGAAAAAAAGAAGAATGGAATAAACCTATTACTTGTTCCTTTGCAGCCTACACATGCTCCCCACCATATAATTATATATACAACTAAAAATTGGAAATACCATAACAACTTTAGTATGCCCAGAGTATATATGGCATGCTGATATACCGACAAGCTTTGGGGTAACAATAACAATAGAAGTCGCACATGGCAGTATAGTTAATGGGACAGAATTCTGATGATTATGCATTCTGTCAGAACACAAATAATGACAAAGCAACATCAGGCAGTTTCTCTTAGAAACAAAGAGTTGGCCTCCCCTGCTGATAACCCTGAAAAACAACCTACAATGAATCCTTTGCTAATAACAATAGTTACAAAGTTTGATTATCTGCATTGTAAAGTACAGAAAAAGAGATTGCAGTACTCCTCTTCATTATGATGTCACCCTCTACCATTTTTTCTGTTAAATCAGTTACTTAAAAAATGATGTCTTAATGATATCTAAAAATTATCATTGTAAACTACCTGGCTGTGTTGAACACCTACTACCTTTACAAGATAGCAACTGCCTCTTTCAGCAGCTACTATCCAAACATCTTTAAGCAGCTACTGAGTTTATAACCCATGGAGAAGAAAAATTAAATTGCCAACACTGCAGATGTCTTGTGTTTCTGCATTTTTTTAAATGTTTTGTTTATGTCCGCACAAGACAGAATGGGTTCAAATTTAGTGACTGAGGAGGCCAGAACACATCATCACCAGCACACACAGAGCTGCCCTGCCAGTAGCTGTAGGCACCGATTTCAAACAAGTAGTTCCATTATAACTGTGGAGACTTCAAAGCAAAATCCTGTGAGCAATATAAAAGTTTATAAATCAATAATTTAACAAATGTTATCTTCTTCATGCATCCTCTAAATATACACAAGGATGACCTGATTGAAAACAAATTCTCCTTTAATAATTAATGGCTTGTAAATTTACAAGAACCGAAAAGTAAAAGTCCATACTTGTGGTTGGAGCTGTTACTCAGTAGTTCTGCATTGTGTCAAATGAAGTAACAAACAATTCCCATATCTGAATGAATACAGAGGGTGAAAACAAGAAACCATGGTGTTTGTAACCATCTTTACCTATGGCATAACCTTATCTACATGGATTGAAAAAAACAAACAAAATGGGTAGGCAACCAGGTTTATACAATCCTTTTGTAAAGTATTTCCACTTGCCCTCCAATTTCTAATTCACTATTGACTGAAAACACTGGCTTAACTTTGTCAATGCTTTTGAGGATTCTGAATATTTGAAACGGGTACTATTGTAGTCTTATTGTATTCTCTTTTCTAACTAAATAGTATGTCAGTGTAGGACATTCATTTGGATCCAGGAGGTTATCTTGTTGCTCACCTCAGAGAGGATTACAAAGAAGCAGTGTCATTCTTATATTTTGGTGACCACAATTTTACATATTATAAATGAGGCCTTGCTAGTAAATGGTACAATTTTAATATCGCATCCCTTGTGTTACATTAACTCTGTTTTCCAACATGATTTGCCTTTTAATTCTTTCTTGATGGGTTTGTTTTATCAGGTGTTTGTCCAGTCAAACTTTCTCAGTCCTTCTTGTGGTATTATTGATAAGCTTCACTAGGTGCCTAAATATACTAGAATTGTTAGAATTTATATAAATTAAGATGATTAGTGGTCTTATTACAGATCTCTCGGCTACTCCACTAATTATATCATCCCAATTTCAGCACTCAAAACTTAAATAGTTTGATTAATTTCTTACTAAACATTCTTATAATTTATTGTGTAAAAATGTGCTACTACTCGTCATATATAAAGATGATTTACCAACTGGCCACATTAGAACATTAAACAATTTGAACTACAAATACAGGAGTATTAAAAGAAATTCTGAAACTTAATGTTTTAGGTCAAACAGTAATGAAAGCACAACTGCTTTCCAAACATCACTTTTCCCACCAATTCTTCCAATTCAGGGTCGCAGGAGAGCCAAGGCCTATCCTGGCAAACAATGGGCACCCAGCAGGTCACACCCTGGATAAGAAACCAATCCATAAGAGGGCAGACACACAGACATAGACACTCTCACACCTAGGACCTTTTCCCAGAAACCAACCAGTATATTTTGGTACTGTGGGAAGAAACCAGGGCACCCAGGGGAAACCCACACAAACACAGGGAGAGCATAGAAACGCCAAGCAGATAGCACCCCAGGTCTAGAATTCAACAATGCTAACCACTCCACCACCGTGGTGCCCCTGATTGGCTTTAAAACTACTAAAAATAATACAGACTGATCAGAAGAAACTGAGAAAGCTGTGAGATAGATGTGAGATGTCTGGCAGTGAGAACAGCACAAATAGCAGCAGGGCTGCAGAATCACTGTTTTGTCTCATTTACAAGGGCTGACATCCTTCCCACCCACGCCACACACAAACACCTGTCTATTCCCAGGATAAAGGATTTTGAGATTTTGATCCAAAAATCCAACTTCTTCAAATTTTGCAGGTTTATCTCTAGCACAATACCAAACTTCCTCTCTTACAAAAGTTTTGGAAGGGAAATGATCTGTGTCCTCAAGACCTTCTATAGCCCTGGATAGTGGTTCAACTGGGACAAACATTCATGAACTTGTTGAACTAGTGTCAGATTAAGTACTGTTCTATGCAGACTCAATTATTCCTACCAAAAGCTTTTTTTTCCCCAAGGGGACACAGAGTTGAGAAGGGTAGTGTGGAATGAGGTCAAGAGATCAGGAAAGCTAAGGGTCAGTACAGGGGAAAAACAGAGTATACCATGGGTAAGGCCAATGAATAAGTAATCGCTGGCTGATCCATTTAATGATTTAAATGTGTTTTATACCAGTTTTGAATCACAACCCACAACCACCTCAGTTACCAGTGATGACTCACCATTATCTGAAATATCTAAGTTTATTTAGTTTGACACAGCAGATGTAGTTAAATAAGATTAAAGTAAGGGAGAATACAGGTCTAGGTAATGTGCAGTCGAGTTCTGCAATATTGTGCAGAACAGCCTGCTGTTTCAGATGCCCTTAAACTTACAAATTCACCCCTTCTCTATGAAAGAAATCAACTGTTCGCATCCCAAAAACTGCCAGGCCAAGTGGGAGTAATAGCTACAGGCCAGTTGCTCTGCCATCTCTCCGAATGAAAATTCTGAAGTGAACAGTGAAGCTACACATTGTAAAGAGCACACTGAACCTTACTGACACCCTGCAGTTTAGAAATAAAGGGGAAAGTGGATACAGAGAAACGAAGAGAGTGGATAATGCAATGCTCATACCGATAAACATGGTCTATCAGCGCCTTGATGAGAAAAGACATTTTTAAGAATCTTATGTTGATGTTTCCTTTACTTTCAATAAAGTATAATCACTCTTGCCAGCACAGAAGAATGAAGAATTTCAAATGAAACAGTAATGTGATAAAATGGGTTCTAGACTTCTTCGACTATTGTAAAAGTAAACACAAAGACATCTCATTAAGTTTGCTGATGACACTTCTTCGGTCACCTAATTAAGATCCAGAAAATCATTATGAGCCCATTCTAAATTATCTTCTATAAGGTGTGTTGGGTTCTGTTTTGATTTAAAGTATTTTAAAAACAAAGGAACTGGTCATTGATTTCAGAAAAAGATGCAACACCCCTCCAACCTACTGTAATTCATGGTAATACTGTAGAGGTTGTCAATGTCTACAAACACTTGAGACTAGTCACAGACAAAAAACAAAGATCAGACAAATGTTGTGACACCACTTGTAAAAATGTTATTTATGGTAAAATGTTATTTATTGCAAGCATTTTAATGCAGTGTCTCATTTGTTGTTTTGGGGACATCAGTAATATGGGAAAATTATCAAGGATAAGCTGCAAAATCATTGGAGCAAATAAAATAAACCCAACTGCCCTCTTAGAGGTTTGTATAGAATGTCAAGAGCTTTATGGAGTGTCTGGCTCACCCCCTCCTCTGTGAATTCTCACTACTCCCTTCTTCTGTGTGTCCAGGTGTAATGGAAATGGACTCAGGACATCTTTCATCCCCTCTGTATCTCCTCTCACTCTCAATGCAAAATAACCATCATCTCCTGCTGTACTGTATTCTTTGTTGGTGATATTTGTGTGTTTTTGTTGTATGTTTGTGTTGGTCCCTGCCATAAAACAAATTTCCCTCAGTGGAATAATGAAGCTTGAACTGAATTGAAAACAGTCAGTATCAGTATAACTGATAGCCTACAACAAGAAATAATGAATATTCCCTTTTGACACAGACATCCTCTCTCACACAGTGATGTTCACATCACTGGAGTTCGAATCTCAGTCATATAAACCCCTTGCACAGTGGTCATTATCTGAAAGATGACAGAGAGGATGGCTTCAGTGTTGTATAATAAAAAAAAAATCTCCAGCATAAAATCAGATTGTAAAACAAAATGTCTCAAGAAGGGCTCTATAAAGCAACTGTCAAAATTGTCAACAGTCTTAAGTCTACTGTTTCTATGATTGAATCCAATCCAATAGAGGAATCAAAGCATACTAAAAACTTTGTACATCCTGACATCACCCATCTTACCAACCAGAGCACAGAAGTTAAAAAATGCATTAGGGGCAGCATGGCAGCACAGTAGTTACCATTGCTGCCTTACAGCACTAGGGTCTTGGGTTCAATTCTGGACTTGGAGTGTTCTGTAGTGTTATCTGCGTGGTATAGTCTCCTCATGTTCACATGGGTTTTCATGGGGTGTTACAGTTTCCTCCCAGAGTCCCAAAGCACACTTGTATTATAATTAGCTTCTCGGAAAATTGGTTTTGAGAGTGTGCCTGTCTGTGTCTGTGCCCTGTAATAGACATGTGTCCCGTCCAGGGTGTACCCCGCCTCAAGCCCATTGAGTACCGGGATAAGCTCAGGTCTCCTTACAACACTGTATTGTATAAAGCGGTCAGAAAATGGATAGATGGAAAAACACATAGACATTCAAGGTGGCCTACCTCATTCATCAATCAGAAGACCAAGGTATTAAGATGTCCCAGGTACATGAGACTTCTGCTGTAGCTGGGCTGTATTTTGAGAACTCACCTTACCTAGAAGTTAACGACTGCTCAACAAACATACCTGATAGAATTCCCCATTTATTGCTCCGTCCACAGCATCTAAAGAAAGCAGATATTTTTTAATTAAGTTGACATACTGTACTTTGTTAGAATGTTGCATGTAGAAGTGCCAACATTTGTTAAAATGTATATCATGTTACATAAACATCCAGAATGATATGCAGTGTGAAGTCATACACTTTTGCAGCCATGGGAAATGAGACTTTTGTGCCATAAACAGAAGCCCTTATTGTGCAATGTGTATGGCAAATAAGAAATTTGATGTATTCTATGGACTACTGCAAAAACATCCACATAATATCTGAATTGTGTCTCATCTTCAGAACATGATTACAAAAGCAAACTAGATTACATGAAACAGTGAAGTAGGTAGAACAAATATTTATCCTTTATTTAAGTAAACTTGCCACTCCTCGTTTAAGTAATGCTTTAATACATACAACATTTGTGCATTTTACCCTTCACGGTAGAGTGCATTACTAAGCCCCCTACAATAACACACAAAACACAGTATCCAATATGATTATATGATCCGATCTCTAAATATAACAATTGGTGACTCGACAGGTTCATGGGTTTTAGCTTCTACAGCCAAAGAAGTACCCTGTTCAAGCACTCATTTCAACAGAACTCAAATATTACTTAAAAACAGTACACAAGAAACTAACATCTTTCCAGGATACTTCATCACACCCCCTCCTCCACAACCTCTCTCTCAAAACCTGGACTGTGGCACTACTATCAAAGGGATCAGGCCGTTGCTGCTTACGTCAAGGATTAGTCTATTGCCCAGTTCCTCACGGCAGGTTTAAGCCTTATCTATTTCTGTCAGCCTTCTGGAAAGAGACAGGGAAATCCTCCTTTGCCATCTCCTGCAGAGAATTCAGCCAGAATAATAGCTGGTAAACAGCACATTTTACATTAGGACAAACTTAATAGCATCAGGATGCCAGATCTTTATATTTGAGTATACCTGTTTGTCTGGTCTTTACACCCATAGAGTATTTGCACCAGAAAAACGTGTGCCTAGTCTCACTCTCAGCAGGTGGTTCGTGAGGCCTGATCACATGGAAAACCATAATGTAAAACAAATATTGTGCAAGGAGAATTTTTTAACAAAGTTCCTCAAGATACAGCCAAAACTACTCTGTACTACCCGTCATCGGCAATCATCATGAATTCCGTTATATAACAAAGGAAGTCTAAATTAAAATCTCAATGTGACTCTCAGCCCTTCACCAATTAACCAAAATCCACCACATTTCAACCTATGGTTGGCTCCAGCAGTAGTTTCAGCTGACCTGCCACACTCTTCTACACAGATCCTTTCAGAGAACAACTATTAAGTCTCAGTAAACACAATGCAAAGCAAAAACAGTGTCAACAAAGTGAAGAACATTAAGCACCAATCACAAAATTTCTGACTGATAGCTCAACCAACAAATAATGACTCACAACAAAACTCACTCACTTTATATTTTCATTGTTCTATAACCACCTAACCACTGGAAAAGGGCCTCCTGTTCTCAGATTAAATGCATTTCTAAAAATGTCTTCTTGTACACTTCTACATTATGTTCAAGCCTACAAAGTTTTAATTTCTTTTAAATGTCACTCTAGGACATCCTTTGGGCCAATATTTTACCTGCTTATTCCTCTCTGAACCTATTGCAAGTTCACCAATATGATTTTGCATCATGGTGACCAAAACAGTACATAATATTCTAAATAGTGTAGATAGCGCATTTAACAATTTTAACTTGATTTAAATTCTGCAATTTTAGCTATATGTCCCAAAATTGTTTTCCTTTTTATAGTGTTTCCCAGCATTGTACAAGATGAAAATGATGTGTCAACAAGTCTTTTTTATACTGTACATTACTTCTTCAAGCTCATTATTTACTATTTTACAAATTACATTTTTTGCTACCTAAATATAACATTGGTTTACATTAAATGTCACCTGCAAAGTGTCTGCCCAGCTTTGAATTTGATCTAAATCAACTGAATTCCTCTTACATAGCATTTGATAATCCTCATATTTTATGCAAAAAATTACCAGTTTATTATGCCACATCCTATTTCATACACATTTTCTCTCACGATTTCTCTTAAGAGCTTCTAGCACCTGTAAGAGCTTCTGTTTCTTGTACGCTTATACTATTGAACATACAATTTAGTATTTAATCTGAAAATGTTGTTTATTTCTCTCTTGGTGAGCACCTGACTGAAATGTTAATTTAATACATGAGCCACTGCCCTCTGTCTAAATATTCCCAATTTCTACCTCTGAGACCTTTATCCTTTATTGTTCTTTTGAGGTAATAAAATTGATTTTTATATGACATTTTTGCTTTTTTCAAATAATCTCTCAGCTATTCCAACTTTGTTTTTTGTCTGTACTCACAGACATTTATTTTCTTTCACTGGACATTATGGCTAATCATCTTTCACATCTTTATTCTTCACTTTGATTGCATATTAAAACATTCTTAATGTTGTTTATACTTTTTAGCATTCCCTTCCTTCATTCTTGAAAGCTTTCCTTTACATGAATGACAAAAGAACTGCTTGTTTTATTAATGTATGGTAAACTTTAAATGTCTTTTTCATTGAACTAGAGTCATTGTAGATTAATCATTGAATGTATCTCACCCATTCTTGTAAAATCTAATAAAACAATATACAGTATGCACACCTTCTGTAAGGACTCAATTGACAACCTAATAACAGAATATTCAACATGGATACTTTCAACAGAGAAACCTGTATGGACTTCTACGTCCTTCTGCCTATAAACTTTGTACAACAATGGAACATTTTTTAAGTTATTTTTCTATCAAAGGATTCCTACAATACATTTGCATTTAATTTTTACATAACAAGTTAGGCCATAAATAGAATTTCTATTATTTTAACGTGTTCTGAATTGTGAAAGCAAAAACACACCCAGCCAATTCATATAATCATTAATCATTAATGTTGACACAGTTTCAGAACATACTATCTTAACACATCTCCACTACAGCATCCAGCATATAAAGCTACTGTACATTATATTTTAGTCTGAAGCTGATTTCCATTTCTGAGCACCTGCTAAATGTAGAAGGAGGCCAACCCATTATTAATTATTTAGACTTTAAAGATCAGGTAGCACAAAGACTAAAAGGGAGGTAACTGGTTTTTGGCATTCTCAATGAAACCTGAAACCTTTTAATGGAACAAATATACATGAAGGCAATGAGGATTAATAAAACATGCTGTAATGATAAACAATGTCTAGTTCCCTGAATAGCTATCTATTTTTGTTATACATGGAATTGTAGCTAAAGACCAGTTGAGACACCAGAGAGATCCTCTACGATTTTCTCCCCTCTCTGACACCTTACCTAACAAATTCAACATATTCTGCCTAAGAAGAAGAGCAGTACTACACTTAATCCTCTTTGGCTGTCTAACTCACCCTCCCAAGCAAACAGGAATTCCTCTTAAGAATATTTACAAAAGTATTCTGGGCTATTTTCACAAATAATTTACCATTTGTTTCTGTATCTCTTTTCATATGGGTCCGACTTTTTTATTTCAATTTATAAATTATAGCCATCTATCCATTTTCTCACCACATCAGCCAAATTATGATTTAGAGGTCATTCAAAATTGAAGGATTATTTTGTCAAGTGTCAGCACTACTGTACTAACTTCTCATCAAGAGCGGGAGCTTATCACTCCAAGATAGTGTCATGACACGAGGCCTGTCAAAATGAAAGACATACAAATTTGCAATATTAAATTCATATTTAAAAACCTTTAATATGCTTTTTATTGTGTACAGTTAAGTCTTTCAAAATGTCTTCCCAAATGTCCAACTTCTACAAAGATTTGGTCTCAATTTATGCTGGGTAAAATGAGAGATGTTTACAGTACATATTACTTCCAACAGATGTAATTAAAATCTGTACGAAGTGCCAATCTGTACCTCTAGATCAGCTGTAGGCAACCTTTACACTTTCATTCTATTGTTAAGTCTTTGCTACATCTTATAATTATTGAAGAGGCCTTCTGCACTGGGGTTACTTAAGCAGCAGGGAATCGATTCAGTGATAAATTTATTGGAGGTACAGTTCTGGAATGCAAGTGCCAGGCTTGACAATACAGTACCTGCTCTAGATGACCACAACTGACTGACGGCAAGAAAAAAAAAGACTCTGTACATACAGATACTCAAAAATGGATTTAGGCTATGTTAATCTACCTGTACAAAACGGGCAACACCTTGCTTTAAGATGGAGCCAGAAAGAAGCTGCTATCCTTCACACAAGGATTCCTGATCTTATCCACACCATGTGCTGCAAAAGGCGACAGCATGAAGTGTTAATCTAAGCCCCTCTTAGGCAAACCATGACTCCACAATAAACAGCTATTTTGCAATATACAGAAGTCTATTTATATACATTGAGAGACATGAAAAATATAACAAAGAATGGAAGAAAAGCTATTTTCTTGTGGTTTTAATGCATTGCCTTATTCACATGAGTGGTAAATAATAAAGACAGCACTACAACCTACTTATCTCGCTGAACCACAAACTGCACTGCAGCTAGAACAGCAAGCTGGTACCTGCAGCCAACTATAAAAAGCAATGAATAGTGTCCCATGCTGACAAATGACATGAATGTTTTTAATTTGTAAAGGTTTTAGAAATGAATGTACTTGAGTGTAAAAAAAGCTCGATTTCGCACTGTTTTTCTATTGTTTTAGCCACTGCCTGAATACTTTCACACTGTATGCCACACAAATAGAAATGTAAACAATAATGACAATGATTCGCTCTTATAAATTAAACTAAAAATTAATTTACCAAATTAAATGGGTTATTTAACTGACACCATTTATTTTGAATGTCTCTGCATTGGCTACAGCCACTATGGCAGACATTTCCTGCAAAGAAGCTGAGCCCATGGCAGACTGTTCCCTGAACTCATATTTAACATCAAACGCCCTCCAGGCAACCGTCAGCTTCTGTCACGTCTCCAAAGCTGAAGTACAAGTTTGTCTAAAAACACTCTAAAATTAAACTGCATGTGTAAGAGAAAAGTGCCTATATAACAGGATAAAAGAAGTGGTGACACACCTTGTGTTGGGTACAAAGGCCAATACAGCAATCTGCCACTACAAGCAGGCCTGCTATCAGCCACGTTACAGTCTGACAATGAATCAACCACAAGTCTGCAAAAATGTTTCCACTCTGTATAAGAATGTTGGTCTTAGGATGGATACAGCTACAACTAAAAAGCGAGTGGCATTTCGTTTATTTTTTTCCTGTCACTCTAATGTTTTACAGTCATTCTATGGAAGCCAAGGAGACATAATTCATCATGAGGTTACTTTTTTTCTACTTATAAATAATGATACTATGTAGTAAAACAATCCATTCTCACTCTAGCTAAGCTGCATACTAACAGTCATCCAGAACGACGACGTTCAAAGCCGTCCTCGTTAAACATTTACCACCATGATAGGTTTACATCCGCATTTTTGAATCCTAATAACTACTATTCATCACATAAATGTCCCAATATGTTCATCTATAAGCTTTTAAAAGCAGCTCAAACGGTGTTTTAGTTACATTCGAAGTATTTTGTGTGATTTTGCAAAATATGTGGTAACTTTAGCATAGCTCATGTATAGCTGATTAGTGTTCCTTTCACTCTGCAACAGTTAATGAAGAAAAACAAGATTCTCATTTAAAATGTACCTACTCTCTGGCTTAAACAAAATGAAAGCTTAATGTTACTATTTACTATAATGGCTGTATTGTATTGTTCGTAACATCCAGCAGAGCCCAAACGTTGTAAGAACAGTACCGTATATTCACATTGAGCAAACCTAGAATGAGAATGTAGTATTGATAGTATTAACTGACACAATATATCAAGAATCGATAACGCGGATAAACAACAAGAAACGTTTGCAGTGTAAGAACGGGATGAGAAAAGCCAATTAAAATAGTTATTCGGTTTATTGTTAAGTAAACGTTTAGGTTAATCGGAGCGTTACAATCCAACGCCAGTGGCTTGAATTTCAGTTTTCCGGTTTACCTTAAATTTACAGAATCGATAAAAATAGCTGTGTGCTCATAACTAACCATTTTCATCACAGGGCACATGCTAATTTTCCAACTCGGCAATGTACTAACTGCAGTTTAACCGAAGACCGTATCACTTTGTTTAGCGAGGGGGTTCTCGGAGGAAAACAAACGAGCCATTGTACAGTAGGTCCCCACCGTTTGCGTCTTGGCCGAGGTCACCTGTCAGGTTATTGCTCATTGATGAGGGGACCTCTCCGCTGTCCAGGATGCTGAACCCCTCGTCATTCTCTATCCCCGCTATCTCGCTCTCTTGCTGGGCCAAGAAAGCAGCCGCCGGGTCCTCCTCCACTCCAACCCCGTTCCCAGCGGTGGTCTGAGGGGCATTAAGTAAATCGAAACCATCCATATCTACCTAAAAAGAGTAAACACTGTAAAAAAAAACTACCTACAGGAATCACTGCTGAAGAAGTGGTAAAATCTAGATTGGACAGAAGGCGGAGAAAGACCAACACAGGCACAGTGAAGCGGAAACTACAAGACAGCCACTTACAAACAGAAGTCTTTGACGGATAGTTGGTTTCACCAATCATATATGTATTTAGCGGACTTTGAGATCCGCTTTGCCCAACCAGATGATTGAACCAGGCATGTGGAAATCCCGTGATCTCAAACGTGCGTAGAGCTGACCAATTGGAGTCTAGATCCTGTGAAGGTACATGAATGACAGCAAATGGAATCGGCGAGATTACGCACCATAAATAACTGCTAAAATCTAGGTTTTAAAATGCCTTTATTTCTGGGAGAGTGGTTTAACGCTTGAGTTACCAGTTACCAGATTTACATAACATAAACATTCTTGTGCTTGGAAATAAATGCGAATAACCGTTGGTGTACAGTACATTGTATGTACTGTAGACTGATGTTTATTAAGAACCAAATATTATAGTTAATATTGTTTGAGAAAAATATTATTTATTCAAAAATATTTTGGACTGTAAATAAATAAATATAATAGCATATGCATTTATTGTCATCTGCATTATTGTAAAATATATTCTAAAAATAGATGCAACTGGAAATGTCATTAAGGTATCATAAAACAACTACAATATCCAATAAAAAATGTCACGTTTTATTTCCATTTACTCGTTTAATCTTTTATAATAAATATGGATAATCGTAAACGTTTTATTCTTTTCTATCAATGACATGTTTGATAGAACAAATTATCTTTAAAGCATCTACAGTATAACCACCAGCTCTAAAAGGGTAAATCTATGAAGTCTTATGATGTAAGCAAGCTTTGACAGATTGAACACCCTCCATCACGGTGCATTTTGTGAAAGCTACGTAGACAGTATAACATGCACAGCTTTTTTTCGATCAGAATTGATATATGACAGTCTCCTAAAACAAATGTATGAATGATTTTCCTTACTTCTTCTCAATGAATTACAGAAAGCAAGAACACTGCCCATACAATTTGTCCAAATTATCCTTACTGCGAAGTATAACACAACATATGCAAGATAAAACAGATAATGCATCATTTTAAACCGAGGGTTAATTTATTATTAATTACTAACAAAATTACTAACAAAATATAAGTAGTAAAAAAAAATCCTTTAGAAATGTATTGGTATAATTATAATAATACTAAAAAAAATCATGAAAGTCTCCTGCAAACTAAGAGGATGGGTAAGGAGCAGACTGGTTAAGGATGATCATGAAAAAGCTACAGAGCTTAATGGCCGAGAAAGGAGATAAGTGACATGGAGGCAAAAGGTTTTCTGTTCATAAGAGGCCAAATTGCAACTTTTTGCTATAAATGTGATGTTACATTTGGTGCACATCCAGGGCAAGGTATCATCCAGTCAACATCCCTATTGTCAAGCATTGTGATGGCAGCATTATGTTAATGGGATTCTTCACACCAGTAGGGACTGGGAAGCCCATCAAGATTGAGTGGAAAATTAATGGAGCTAAATAAAGGCAAATCCCTAAGTTAATACTGCTTCAGTCTGCTAAATACCACAAATCTGATGGAAATTCATCTTTTAGGAAGAAAATGATCCAAAGCAAAAGGCCAAACCTATACTGAAGTGGCTTAACAAGAAGAACATGAATGTCCTCGAGAACAGTAAAAGTCCTGACTTTTTCCATGATAAGACTTGTAAGTTGCGATCTATCCATACTTCCCAATCAATTGTTCATTGCACCTTATCCAAAAAGTCTTGTAACAGTAATTGTATTCACTCAAGAGGAATAATACTCATGCAATCAAGATATGTTTTTAATTTTCTAAGCAGTTTTCTTAAGTTGGTGACCAGCATAAGGTCAAAATGCTAAAAGAGAGACAATTCATAAGACAAAATTCAGAAATCAACATTAAAAAGTCAAGCCAAAAATCCAATACTGAAGGATCTGGAAGATCCAGTGAGAATATCACAGAGGGAACTCACAAAGTTGAACCCAACACTAAGCAAAGTTCGAATAGAGAGCGGGGTTTAAGTAGGCTGGGGAGAGGAGGTATAGTGATGTAAGAGGACCTGGATTGATTAACGAAGTTTGGCTGATCTACGCCTCGGCTGAGTAGATGAGGTAGGCACCAGCAGTTTAGGTGCCCTCTGGTGGCGGGATGCTGGAATTGTTACAAGTTTTTGCTGACATTAAACTTCGTTCATCATAAAACTGTTGTTTGAAGCATGTATGTTTTGATTACAAATATTTTAAATAAAAAAATACAACATCATTATACATTGAATACATCATACTACAATACATTAATCATTGGTAATACAACAAAATATATCATTGAAAGGAGATCAACTACAGAGAGTCACTGTACCTCCTTTAGTCGTATGTAGCTGGGTAATAATAATAATAGCTTACACTTATATAGCGCTTTTCTGGACACTCCACTCAAAGCGCTTTACAGGTAATGGGGACCCTAACCCTAACCCCTCCACCACCACCACCACCACCACACATGTGCAGCATCCACCTGGATGATGCGATGGCAGCCATAGTGCACCAGAACGCTCACCACACATCAGATATCAGTGGAGAGCAGAGTAATGTAGAAATTTGGCCAGGACACCAGGGTTACACCCCTACTCTTTTCAAGAAACACCCTGGGATTTATTTATTTATGACCACAGAGAGTCAGGACCTCAGTTTTACATCTCATCCAAAGGACTGCACCTGTTTACAGTATAGTGTCCCCGTCACTATACTGGGGCATTAGGACCCACATGGACTGCAGGGCCCCCTGCTGGCCCCACTAACACCTCTTCCAGCAGCAACCTTAGTTTTTCCCAGGAGGTCTCCCATCCAGGTGCTGACCAGGCTCACACCTGCTTAGCTTCAGGGGGCTGCCAGTTGTGAGTTGCAGGGTGATACGACTGCTGGCTGTAATCTGACTTTTCATTAAACTGTTTTTTGAAAGTTGTTAGAGTATCTGCTTCAATACTGTGCGTAGTTAGCTTCTTTCTAACTCCCGCAAAATGTTGTGTAAAGATTTCTTTCCAGTTTCCAGTCTTATAATGCACTTCTCTTTATCTTTGCAGCTTACGCATGCGGACGCAGCTACCCACCTAGACAACTTTATGACGTCTCCTATTAAAGGAGCCTCTTAGCTAAATTACTCTGAATTTACACAGGTCCAAGCAGTTTAGTGAAGGCAAAGAAAGATTATTAGAAATCTCAATAACACTTAATTCTAAGTGAAGTAATATGCCTTGCTGATATACAGTCATAGCTTGTTATTACTTGGTTCAAATTTAATTTTTTATTGGACGTTAAAGCTTGTATTATTGTTTTTAAATAATTATTTCCTGTTTAGCAACTTCAATGTTCACTGCATTTCATCTACTTCTTTAAGAAGGGATGTGTTTCGAACACAGATCAGGTAATTTCCATTCTTTATATGAAACAGTTATTTATACATTCATTTGGTTTGATATTTTTATACTATACTTGTCCAGTGACACATTTTGAAATTCATTAAACTTGCAATCATTACATTAATTATACAAAGTCAAAGATCTATTTAAATGTTCCATAACAAATTAATCATTATGCTCACCCTCCAGTTCCAAGTTATCTTAAGCACAATATTGTGCCAAAGAAATCTTTCACAGGATTTCAATTCGGTGGATAACTCTTCTCTGTTGACAAGTTTTTGAGTCAACACAGATATTATATTTTTATTATTTTTTGAATTTGAGTTTGAGTTGACAACTAAGCACTGCTTCTGCTGTTTTCTAATGTCACCCTTCTGCTTCATTTTCTTTTGCATGTTAATACTTGGATTCCAAAGTTAGACTTGTTTAGAACATCCTCTTTAGCAATGAAAAATAATTCAGTACATTTTCTCGTTTCTGACCTTATGATTAATCATTTAGAAACTGATATTTTATTTTCAGAATACATTTATAGGAAAATTTTTACGATTTTCAAGTTTTAGTTTCAAGGTTTAGCTCCCTGCATTAAGTAGGTGTTTATTTTTGGTATAAATTGTTGGTTTAGATTTAGGCATAAATTTGCTTCTATAATCCTCAAATCTATACCTCCATTACGTATTTTATTTTTCCAATACAGCTCCCTGAATCTATTTATACTTCTTCATATTTTTGTTTTTTTTCCATCTTTTTAATTAAATTTTGTCTATCAAGGTGGCAGTCATTGTTTTAAATAAACAGATCTCCATAGACAATAAAGCCACTATCTTTCTCATTAATCTTTGTTCTTCTTCAGGTTTCACAACTGTAAAGCTCCCAATCCTCTATGCATCTAGTTAAAAGATGTTTGGTTTCCTTAGTTAGGAAAGACCTAACTAACCTATGTTTATTAATAGGAATGCATGGTTGTTTGTCTTGCTAACTCACATAACCTAGGTCATAATTATTCCAGTGTAGGGCAACTTCAATGTGGAATTTGCATGGTGTCCCCTTGGCTGCATGTTTTTTCTCCAGGTGCTTCAGTTTTCTTCAACTATCAAAAAGTGTGCTCTTTACGTAAATTGTTGCCCCTGAATGCATGTCTGTCCATGTGCCCTGAAATGGACTGGAATTGCATTTAGTGTTTTCTGCTTTGCTCCTGTTGTGTACAGTTACTATAATTTACATTTAATCTTGGACTATAAAGGATCCTTTGTGATTTGGGCAAGTGCCAGTTACAGAACAAAAGAGACAGAGAAATTCAAAAGGCAAGACAGTACTGGCACACTATGGCTGTTGTTTCATCATCCAGGTGGATGCTGCACAATTACCTGTACCTGTAAAGCTTTTTGAGTGGAGTGTCCAGAAAAGGGTTATGAAAGTGTAAGCATTTATTATTATTAATTATTTTTATATATCCTGCTGAGTAATTCTGCTTTTGAAACAGTCCTACATTTATTTTTACATTTTTATTTTAATAAATATTTAATATTTAACATACTGTGATATATAACATTGATAAAAATGTTAAATATAGTATAATACTGTATATAATGCGAAAAAGACAAATCCCTTATACAAGAAATTGTATATGGCCAATAACGTGATCTCTTATCTCTCTCTCTTATAAATTACATTTATTAAATTTTATTTTCCCCATGGGGCTGGGCAATGGCTGGGATTCATACCCAGGCATTTCGCGTGATAGCCCACATGACACGTTAAGTATTCACTGGCACCCATCATATTTCTGAGCAATATAAGTGCTGGCACTTATATACAGTGCTGGCATCAATTCCAAGAGCGCACTCTGGCGGACATAAACACGTACACGTTTTTGTCTAATTCTTATTAGAATAAGTCCAATCACGAAAATCACAGAAATCTGCTCATTTCTGAAATTACAGACCGCTGCTTTTCATTAGCTCAGCAGGATCGCGACTCCAAATATTCATTCCTGATCTTTGGGGTCACAAATTCGACCGTTGACTATGTTTTTTTAAATCTCCTTATGAACATTTTAAATACATACATGATGTAGATCCTTCCACGTTTCCCCTTGATAAAAAGGGGGAAAACACTTTGATGAGCACCCTTGACATTACATCTAAATTTAAACCCACTGCGTAAGTAAAGGTAGATTATTTTTTTCCCCATTTTTTAGTTGTACTAGTGTTTTTCTCAAAAAACGCCCGACTGCAGTCTGTTTCACATCGGTGTAGATTTATTAGTTTTAATACAGATGATTTTTGAAGATTAATTTCCCATTTCAATAAGTTTAACTTTAAGGGTACATAGGAACACATTTAACGCTGCAATAGACGTAACCTGGAACTTCTGGCCACGTCACTGGTTGCTTTTGATTGGCGAGGGTGTAGTTTTTGCTTACCGTAATGTGTCGTAATGAAGAACAGTTTTTTTGTGGGATAGAAAAGACACAAAGAAAGAGATAGAAAATAGTTTTGAGTTACAGCTTCACATAAGTCCAAACCACTGCGTGTCACAGAAATATTTTTGTTCTTCGGAACAATATACAATACAAAGCCCGTCTATTCAAACTACAAGATGATCAGCAACGCTTACATCATTTTTGAAATTTACGGTACTAAATCAGGATGCAACAACCCCACTTCCTGTTGAATTGTCTGTCAACGTGCTGTTAAGAGCTTGCAAGCAAAGTTGCAGTTTTGTAAGAAAAGAAAAGCCAATTTACTGCTACTACCAGAAATATGCCTCTTAAATTTGAGCTATGTCCCGGAAGAATGATTGGTGGAAGCCACCCATGTTTCATTATAGCAGAAATTGGACAGAACCATCAAGGAGATATTGAGATTGCAAAGAAAATGATCCGGATGGCTAAGGTAAAATAAGGTTTAGGGACAGCAATTTAATTAATATCAGGCGTAGCGAAGGTATTGAATATGAACAGTGTATGGGATTTTGTTTTCATAGAGACAAGATATGTTAATATTTTATAATCGTTTTCTTCATTTGGTTAGACTCAAGTTGTCTATACTACTGAAAATAAGTTTTGACAGATTGTTGAATGATGTTCAACAATTTTGTTATTTAATACTTCTGCAGTGCTGCATCTCATTTTGCGGTTAACAAATCTTATCTGTCAAGGGTTGATACAGTAACTCGCCATTTTCGCTATTTTATAGTTTACAAATACCGTTTAAAAATGACTGCAGTGCTTTTTGTACCTCAAGTGAAATGTTTGCTTATGCTGTCACGTCAACCACACCTCTTTTGTTTGCTTTTTATCTTCTTATATCCTGGGTCGCGGTCTTCCAACATTTCTTTTCCACAGCTTCGCCTGGGAATTGCAGACGTGCGATTTTTAGAGGGTTCCTGAGTGAATTTGCTATAGTAACAGAGGGAGACTGGCTGCACCAGTGGTCCAGTACGGTGACGCAGAGGCCAGGAGTGGTTTTACAGTTCATTTATTTGATGTTATTTTTGTTATGCACTTCCCAGCACTTGAAGTAGCCATGGATAAAGTAAAATAATTTAACATTTTTTGCGTTTTAGTTTACCACAACGGGCTATTACTGAATGTCCTCCTTTCATTGTTGACCTTTTTTATGTTTTTTATTGAATGTTGGTGTTTTCTTCTATGTTGCACAGAACACCTTGGAGGAAAAAAAAAACATTTCTTTGAGAACCTGTTTGTGACAATGAACAGTCATGGGCAGCAACCAAAGGTTGTGTTCCAACTCCCCCTTCTGTTTTACTGTGCAGGAAAAAAAGAAGAACATTATTAAATGCTTTTATTATTGCTGATTAAAAATGGTTGTTGATCTTAGGACAATAATTCAGCCATTTTCTAACTGCTTCCTCCAATTCAGGGTTGCAGAAGAGCCAGCGCCTGTCTTAGCATGCACCTGGCACAAGGCAGTACACACCCTGAATGGAATGCCAGTCATTATAATAATGTTTCTTTATTAGCCCTATACAATTTCTTGCATTAGGAATTTGTCTTTTCACATACCCCAGCTTTTCTCCATGGAGACACAGACACACAGGCAGGGAGAGAAGCTTGGGGTCAGAGCGCAGGGTCAGCCATTGTATGGCACCCCTGGAGCAGTTAGGGTTAAGGGCCTTGCTCAGGAGCCCAATGGAGTAGGATTCCTCTGATGGCTGTGGGATTTGAACCGGCAACCTTCCAGTCACAGGTGCAGATCCTTAGCCACAGAGCCACTGCTCCGCCCCTGACGGAGGGCACAATCAGACACAGACACTCACAGCAGGGTTCATGTTCCCAAAAGACAATTATCCTACCACAGTATCCTTGGACTGTGGCTGGACATCCATGTGAACACAGGGAGAACTTACAAACTCCACGCAGACCGTGCAAAAAATGCAGGTCCTGAATTGAACCCAGTGCCCCAGCACTGCGAGGCAACAATGCTAACCACTGTACCACCCTGCTAGTGCCATCATACAGTATACAACAAAAATAATTTAATGCAGCAGCATATCTACCTTGTATCCTGATGTGGTCAGGTCTCAGAGATAAAATAGAGTGGGCCTGAGCATTACTGGGGAGTGAGACCTCCATGAAAACCCAGATTGCTGCTACAAGTGGTTTGTGTGAACTAGCAAGAGGTACTCTTCTCTTTGGGTCACAATTAAGACAAATGCACCAGTGTGGTGAATGAGGATATTGTGCTCTCAATGTTGCCATCCTTCAAAAGAGATGTTAAACTGAGCTCTTTTAAACTGACTGTATGGACATTAAAAATCCCGTGGCACCTTTCAAAAGAGCTGTTGTGCTAATTCCGGTGTTATGGCTTACTTATAGACTGTTTGTGAAACACTCTGACCTTCCTAAGATTACCACATATTTCAATTGGTAGTTTCTCACTCCTCTATCTAATCTGTTGTATAGTAGGGCTGGTGGGTGCTACATGTTGGTGCTAGATAATGTGAGACTCATTTTATAGGTGAAGTGCCTTGGGATAATTTGGAATGAAATTTGCTGTAGAAATTTAAGGTATTATTAATTTTTAATGGTAAGGTCACTGTTAATGTCTGTGCTAGTTGAAATAGTTGTGTGGCATTCTATAGCAGTCTTCAAATCCACATCTTAATGTGGATTATGGCTGCTTAATCAGCATTAAGCAGCCATATCACCCTGCAACTCACAACTGGCAACCCACTGAAGCTAAGCAGGTGTGAGCCTGGGCAGTACCTGGATGGGGGACCTCTTGGGAAAAACTAAGGTTGCTGCTGGAAGAGGTGTTAGCCAGCAGGGGGTGCTCACCCTGTGGTCCATGTGGGTCCTAATGCCCCAGTATAGTGACGGGGACAATATACTGTAAACAGGTGCCATCCTTCAGATGAGACGTAAAATTGAGGTCCTGACTCTCTGTAGTCATTAAAAATCCCGGGGCGTTTCTTGAAAAGAGTAGGGGTGTAACCCCGGCGTCCTGGCCAAATTTTCCATTGGCCCTTATCACTCACAGCCTCCTAATAATCCCCCTCTATGAATTGGCTACATTACTCCTCCCCACTGATAGCTGATGTGTGGTGAGCGTTCTGGTGCACTATGGCTGCCGTCGCATCATCAATGCTGCACATTGGTGGTGGTGGAGGGGAGTCCCCATTACCTGTAAAAGCGCTTTGAGTGGAGTCTCCAGAAAAGCGATATATAAGTGTAAGCAATTATTATTATTATTATTATTATTATCTGTGCAAAACTTCAGGAAAATGTGATATGAAAAACAACCACACTAGGTTTGTTTTACACCATAAGCAAAAATACAATTATCCCAACATTTAAAATGAGTGTTTTCTTAACTTAGGTGAACTTGGGTGTCTCAAACTAACCTAATGTGAAAACTGTGACACTTTTACAGGACTGTGGAGCAGACTGTGCCAAGTTTCAGAAGAGTGAGCTGGAGCACAAGTTTAACAAACGTGCACTAGAACGACCTTACACCTCCAAGCACTCCTGGGGGAAAACGTATGGGGAGCATAAGCGTCACCTTGAGTTCAGTCACGAGCAGTACAGGGAGCTACAGAAATATGCAGAGGAAATTGGCATCTACTTCACTGCCTCGGGAATGGATGAGGTAAGAATAAACTAAAAAATATATTTTAGAGTTTAGAGTGTTGAGATTTTCTAACTAAGTTTAATCGGCCAATGTTTTTAAAAGCAATAATGTTGAACAGCAAATATTAGCCACAGCTTATCTTCCTAAAGTTATTACAAAACACTAAAGAATAGAATGGTATAATGCATTTACTATAGTATCTTTCTTCTTTTACACTAGCAAAGCAAAAATTGCATCTCTGCTCAATATTTTGATATTTTCTAAAATCAATTTTTTTCAAGAACAGGGAAATATTATTTCTTTTTTTTCACAAAAACTATTTTCTAAAACTCTTTGGAACAATTATTTTATATATTTATGTTCTGAGTATTTTTAATATTTTTCTCTTCTGCAAAAGTTTTTAACTATAAGTATTCCCCTGATACTAGGGTTTCAAAGATTTTACTTTACTGCTTGAATTTCAATATTTGATGTGACGTTATCTAAAATCAACAGTATATTGAATGCTGGGTAAAAGTGAGTAGTATCGCACAGTTAAATAAACATAATCTTTTTATCAATATTTTTGTCTGTGCTTCTGAAAGGGATCTTTAGCCTTCTGATAAAGGAGAAGTATACACTTTTTTCGAAGGAGCTAAATTACAACATTTTATTTTTCTGCTTTGATAATTTATCTATTTTGTGCATCTACTTTGACCTTATAGATGGCAGTTGAATTTCTTCATGAGCTTAACGTTCCCTTCTTCAAGGTCGGTTCAGGGGACACTAACAATTTCCCATATTTAGAAAAGACTGCAAAAAAAGGTAAGTACCTTTTGTCAAGATGCGATATAAAAACAGATGAGAAAATGAAACCATTTAAATGTTGCTTAACATGTAGCTTGCTTTTCATACATTTTTTTTCATCTTACCTAAATAAATATTTTGATACTGTATATAGTTGTTTATGGTTATTGTTATGTTATGTTTAGCCAGCTCTGGTTCTTTGGTTCCATTGGGGTGGAACTATCACTGATTCCAAATCTTCAGTAATGAATGATATAGATCAGGTTTCTGCTCAGATTTCTGTAGAGGTTGGAATTTTCAGCACCACAGGTGCCTTATTGCTTATCTGGCGGTTTTGTTTGGGAATCCTCTGTTGCTGACATAGTAGGCTTGATTAAGAGGGTGGTGTCTGGATTGACAGGATTGATTTAATTGAGCTTAGACTGTGTATGGTTATGAGAAGGAATTATTGCAATATGCTAAAATATTAACCATGAAGGAATCTACACATTTCTAAAAACATACATATATAACAACTGTACCGTGGCCTGGCCAGTTATCACACATTGCAACGTTACCATATAAGATATAAGATAAGATCACTTTATTAGCCATGTACAATTTCTTGTATTAGGAATTCATCTTTTCACATACCCCAGCTTGCTTTCCATGAGACAGACACACAGACAGGGAGAGAAGCTTGGGGTCAGAGCACAGGGTCAGCAATTGTACAGCGCCCCTGGAGCAGTTGGGGTTAAGGGCCTTGCTCAGGAGCCCATCAGAGTAAGATTCCTCTGCTATCCGTGGGATTTGAACTGGCAACCTTCCAGCCACAGGTGCAGATCCTTAGCCACAGTGCCACCGCTCCGCCCTGTGGGCTATGGTTCTTACAGTACCTACAAACGCTTTTAAACCATGTTTCTTTCTGTGCAACCCATGTGTATATAAAAAGTTCTAAAAAAGCACACAATTCAATTTGAAACAGTTCCATTTATAATAGATAAGATACAGTTTACTAGGTGTACTGATTTTCAGTGCATCGATATGATTGCCAAAATGTCATGTATGTTGTTTGTGGTTGCCACTACATTATGTAAGTAATTTTAGCTAGTGTAGATTGTGCTCTTAACAACTGATTACTGCTGTGTGATCAAACAATGGATTACTAAGGGATGTATCTGTCATTACTAGGCAGCACTGCTGTATATCATAAACTCATAGAGAGCACCGGGTTCCTGATATACTGTAGACAGGGCTCACAGCACTGAAGCTGAAGCTGTTAAACACAGGATTATTGAAGTAGCTAAACACCTGATTATTGGTCATACAGTACATATAAACCTTTCACACAATTTTGCCAGCAAATTTTTACTAGGGTTTAGATGTGGGCTAAGGTAGGGACAGTTTACTCTTTGATCTTTTTTCAAATCATGTTTATGACCAGTATTGAAGTAATGTGGATTTTGACCAGTATGACACACACATGCGTTGTAATTCAGCGAAACTGCCTCACATTAACCACATTTACATTCACTTATATAGTGTACTTCAAAGTACTGACAGGCATTAAAAAATACAACAAAAATGTAACCAGCATCTGTTGAGTTTGTAATGCCTCTCTTTATATTTAGGGGTGAAAAGCAATCCAACCTATTAATATTCAAATGTATTTAAAACCAGATGTATGCACATTTACTGTAGACATGTACCTAAGTATAAGGTAGGAAACAAAACATTTTGGCTGTGCTATGAGTACTTGGGTACATTTTGCAGTATTTAAAGCAAGAAATACCAACACCTGGTTCATACATGTATGTATGTTCTGCCATTCAGCTTTTTGACTGGCAACACATGCATGTTGTTTACTCAAAATGTGTGAAGGTACTTCCTATGTTGGGAAGAAAAAACTTATGGCTGTTTAATTATTATTTAATAATTATTGTCTTTAAATATGTTAGTCTTTGTTGGTAGAATATTTGTAGAGACTGAAACACTGCATTACTTTTGAAATAAAGTATTTCATTGGCAGTAATTTGCATGAATGGATAAAATCTGACTTTTATCTATCCATTTTTAAACCACTTCTTCCAATTCAGGGTCACGGGGGAGCCAGAGCCTATCCCAGCAAGCAACGGCTGCAAGGCAGGATACTCCCTGGATGGAATTCCAGTGCATCGCAGGGCAGACAGACACACACACAGATGAAATCTGACTTAAAAAGAATAATTCTTTCCGCTGGGCTCTTCACAGGCCGTCCAATGGTGGTGTCCAGTGGGATGCAGTCAATGGAGACAATGCGTCGTGTTTACCAAACTGTGAAGGAACACAACCCTAACTTCTGCATCCTGCAGTGCACTAGTGCATACCCGCTGGAGCCTGAGGATGTCAATCTGCGGGTCATTACAGTAAGTTAATAGCTAGCTTTTACAACGGCATTAACTACCTTAAATGATCATGTTTGCAGTTACTTGTACAGCAGCAACTATATACTGTATCACCCTGCAACTAAATACTGGAAATCCACTGAAGATTCCTTGCATGCCTTGGATGAGAGATAAAACCGAGGTCCTGACTCTTTGTGGTCATTAAAAATCCAAGGGTTTTTCTTGAAACGAGTAAGGGTGTTAACCCCGGTGTCCTGGCCAAATTTCCCATTGGCCTTTACCAGTCGTGATCTCCAAATAAACCCCATCTATGAATTGGCTTCAATACTCTGTTTTCCTCCTCACTGATGGTGATCGTACTGCTGCTTTTTGGCTACCATAGGTGGGTGCTGCACATTGGTGGTGGCAAGTTCCTATTGCCTGTAAATTGCTTTGTATAGAGTTTCCAGAAAAACCCTGTATAAAGCATAAGAGACTTATTTTATTGTAGACCAAGATAATCAAGAGGTAGACCTCGGATATAGCTAGAGATTATTATAAAATGTAATTACTATTCACGAATAAAGAATGGGATTCAAGGCCAGAGACTAAGACTCAACAAAAAAACTGAAAAAGCAAAGAGCTAGGAGATACAATATTGTAGCTTTGCGGTGTAGCCACAATATTTGGACAACTTGGCTCGAGGTGCACTCTAAAACTGCTCTATTTTTAAAACAATTTTAATTCTTAGAGTTTTGTAAACAGTTGTAAATGAATATTGAAGATTTGTGATATAATGACTTAAATAAGCGTAATTATTTACTTACATTTTGTAAGTTGAGTAACTGAAATCATTAGTTGGTGTCAAAAGAAAATATTCCAGTGTATGTTTGGAGAAACACTTCTGTTTTGGAAGTGCAGCTGAACGGAGTGGTAAAGCAAGATAGATGCCGTATCACAAACATGTACATCTCTGATCTACCTAGTGTTTAAGGGCACCACTTTTAAAGCTTGGAGTAACAGTAGCTGAGAGTTTCAAATGATGCCAGATTATACATAATTTGCATAATATTAGTTATTAAACATTTGACCTGTGGTGTAGCTTTTCTTTTACAGAGCCTGTTTTTAGTAAGAAGTGATCAGACCTGTTTCTGCTTCACCTTCTGATGCCACGATATGGACCTGATGAAGTTGATACCTGAATACTTAAAAATAATTCTTCCTAAAATACCAAAATATTAGCTTGCAGAACACTTTATATTAAGTTGTTTTCTAAAGAGGCATTTTACTTTTAATATTATGGAAAAATATTTTAGGACTCTTTCTTATGGCTTTTAATATTAATACATTACATTTAACATAGATAAATCAAATTATTGTCATATTCTTTCTTGCTCAGAAGAAATTATATGTTCTCCTTGAGCACTTAAAAAAATGGCCTGTGTTTTTACACTGCTGTTTTTGTTCAGGAACAAACATGATTACTGCATATGATGTTATGAAATGTACTGATTTTGTATGGGAGGCTCCTGGGGATCAGTTTTTTTTTAATTCTCTCTAACAAATGTACTAGGTTCCCAATTTAAAGATTGGAATAGCACAGGATTTGTTTTATTTTTTAAGGAGTACCAGAAGGAGTTTCCAGACATTCCTATTGGCTACTCAGGCCATGAGACGGGAATTGCGATCTCTGTGGCAGCTGTGGCGCTGGGGGCCAAAGTGGTGGAGCGTCACGTGACTCTGGACAAGAAGTGGAAAGGCAGTGACCACGGAGCCTCCCTGGAGCCTCAGGAGCTGACGGACTTGGTCAAAGCCATCCGCACTGTGGAGCAGGCACTGGGCTCTGGCATCAAGCAGATGCTGCCCTGTGAGGAGCCTTGCCACAGCAAGGTAAGGCAAGAAATCTGCAAGAATGATCACCGTCATCATCGGGCAGCTAAATCCTTGCTTACCTGCCAGTCAGTTATTTGACTTCATGTAATTGAAAGGGACGGATATTATAAGTACTGATTTTTGACCCATCTGTTTTCTCTGTGTCAGCTGGGAAAGTCTGTGGTAGCCAAAACAGCCATTCCCAAGGGCACAGTGCTGAGCCTGGACATGCTGGCAGTGAAGGTGGCAGAGCCAAAGGGAGTGCCCCCGGAGGACATCTTCCAGCTGGTGGGCAAGAAGGTCTCCGCAGACATAGAGGAGGATGACAGCATCACTGAGGACGTTATTGACAACTATGGGAAGAAAATTAAATGTTGACTGAATCTAACATTGGCCAAATAGCTTTGATTAATCAATATATGCTGTAAACAAAACGTTAAACTTGCATACATGAGGAGATTCCGGGAAAGCAATTTTTAAGGGCAGTTTTGGAAAAATATTCCTAAATTTATTTCAGTGGATAAAATACAGGTGTTAACTTGAATTTACCTGTGATTGTAAAATGGAAAATATGTTTAGTTACGTTTCAGGAGATATCACTGATTGGAATTAAATGAGTTTTCGTGGAGCATTGTTTTCTGTGAGCATTCTAAACTCTTTTGATGAGCAGCTCTGACTCATCTTTATATATACACACTACATATGGTGCTGCTGCGGCTTTAAATGATCTCTTTATGACAAGACGTCCCTAAAAAAGAAGTTAAATTTTAGTTTGATGTTGTACTGTAAGGTAAGCATGTTTATCAGGAGAAAAAGTTTGTAATTTGATGACTGAAAGTTACAGTAGATCTCATACTTTTTTAATATGCCAAAAGCACTTGTGCCAAGTTGGAATTCATTTTGTCAATATTTTGTATTGATGAATAAAACAATGCCCAAAACTACTTTTGTTTGTGTACTAAGCAGATGAATAGACATATAACATTTAAGAACTCTATTGTTTACAAATGTTTTTAAAATATAAATCCTTTTGCTAGCCATTCTGTAATGTGATATTCTGAAATTAAAAATGATGTGGTGATAAAGATTGGTGATATTAGTGGCATTTAAAATGCTTAGATGAAATTAGCAGCCTGGACCCTAAATTTGCAACCCATTTCTTGCAGGAAACTCTTATTTACCAGACCCAGAAAGTGGGTTCATTGATAGGATGTCGGACAGCCTGTGCTTCATGACTGCTCTCAAACTGTGCTGTGTTTATCCTGTGGGTCTCCTCTTGTTTAGTGTTGTGAGTTTGTTCTTCAGAAAGATAAGAAAAAATGAAAACAGTGTGGCAAGTATTTAAGAATTTATTTATGAGTTTACAAATTTAAATACAGACTCCTGAAAGAGAAGCATTTGTTCCATATCTCAAATTGTACATGGCCAGTGGTATTTTGGGATAAAATTAATTCAATCTTATTATTTATTGCTTGGATAGAAATAGTGCTAAACTGACATATTTTTTGCAATATAAAAATATAACAACAGTGCTTATTAAACATGAATAAAGGAGGGTAGATATCTTTTGGAATTTTAATTACACATGTGGAGAACAGTAAACAGCCATGCCTGAAAATGTTGAAATAAAATCTGTCCTGTGACCAATGTGGTGTCTTCATAATACTATAATACATTTTTGTAAAATAAATCAATCATAAGGTAAAAACAATATTATACCATATGGGCACTAGACTGAGTCAGAAATCTGAAAACTGTTCTTATCCTTTATAATATGAACACTAATGAACTAGTATTTTATCCTTCCCTGCTGATTTCGTCTGTAAGTTGTTAATGTTTAAATATATTTAAATTATACTGATGGAAAAAAGAAACACAATACCTCCTCCACCACACTCTGGCCCTCCCGTCTGCGTGGAACAGGCTGAAGAGTGACTCATCCGTGAAGAGGACCTGATGCCACTGCTGATGAGTCCATCACAGCCTCTGTCTGGCCCAAGCCAGTCGGGTGTGACGTCTAGGAGGTGTGAGCAGAGAGCCTCTGACAGGTCGCCTTGCTCTAAGGCCAGCAGCAACTGTCCTGTCACTGATGCAAGCATTGTGTCTGCCAGTAGTTTCAGCAGCAGTATGGGTGTTAGATCTGAAAGGATCTCTCAGATGGACAGTCTGATGTGTCAGTCCTGCTCTGGTGTGGTCAAGGACGACTGAATATTGGATGGTCATCTGTCCTGCTGGTCTGCTGAAACCTTCTCTGCAGCCGGAACACAGTGTAGTGGCTTACTCCATAGTGTCTGGCAACGCTGGCACATAACACTGCTGTCTGCAGCATGCAAATGGCCCTCTCCCTTGCTTCTGGTGACATTCGAGGCATTATAGAATGCACAGAAAACTGACTGATGTGTGGCCTTTTTCGTACAGTGACCTAAGCTTTGAATTAAGTCCTTTTTAAAGGTGACCTGATCAGGCATTGTTCGGCCTGGACCTCGTTGGGTAAAAGTACACCTAACGAGCTCTCATGTGATTGGTAATAATAATAATAATAATAATAATAATAATAATAGTTGCTTATACTTACATAGTGCTTTTCTGGACACTCCACTCAAAGCACTTTACAGGTAATGGGGATCCCCTCCACCACCAATGTGCAGCATCCACCTGGATGATGCGACAGCAGCCATAGTGCGCCAGAACACTCACCTCACATCAGCTATTATTAGAAGGCCATGATTCTGTGAGGGCCAATGGGAAATTTGGCCAGGACACCAGGGTTACACCCTTACTCTTTTCAAGAAGCGCCCTGGGATTTTGAATGACCACAGAGAGTCAGTTTTACATCTCATCCGAAGGATGGCGCCTGTTTACAGTATAGTGTCCGCGTCACTATACTGGGGCATTAGGACCCACATGGACCACAGGGTGAGCGCCCCCTGCTGGCCCCAATAACACCTCTTCCAGCAGTTTTAGTTTTTCCCAGGAGGTCTCCCATCCAGGTACTGACCAGGCTCACACCTGCTTGGTTTCAGTGAGTTGCCAGTTGTGAGTTGCAGTGTGATATGGTGGCTGGTAAGCTGCAATGCCACACTGCACAAGCTGTATTGCTGGTCAGAGGGCTTAAAAAATTGTCAATGTTTTGTGAAAGTACATTAGCTATAGTATTCTCATTCCAGAAAATGTTGCGTTTCTTTTTTCTATCAGAATAGTGTCTAATGGCAAGCGAATTTCATTTGGAATGACACTGCCTGATCTATCACTATACTTGTTATGATTGCATTAGATCTACCAAAAAAGACGTTTAAGTTAATAAAAATATGAACATGCACAGTAAAGAATAAATTTCAATGAAATTATCTACTTTTCATAAAATGTGTTGATTTTATTTTGAAAGAAAGCATGATTAAAAAGTTGAAACTATTTAGTTTTTCCCTAGGAGCTTCCTGAACTCTGACTAGGTTTCAGAAACTGATGAGCAATGATACAGGACAAGAGGTTGAGAAAATCATGTTAGTTTGCAGAAAGAAATGGCTCCCTCCCACAAGCGGAAAGCAGGGTACACTGGCTCTGTGAACCTGGCCTGGAAGGTATACAGGTGCCTCATGCCTAACAGGGCATCAAAAAAGCTGAGAACGCCGGCTTCATAATCCAGAAAGATGCCTAGCCGCTCAGGGTCCTCCTCCAGGAACACGGGGGTACGCGTTCCGTTGTGGAAGGCCCAGTACTCCAGGTCGTAGCGCTTCAAGCACCAGGAGGCCTGGTTCCAACCGAGGCGCGAAGCCTCCGTGTCCCCCTTGCGGCTCATGGTGCGGTAAACTGCACCCACCCACCATCCCTTGCCTGCCCGCTGCACGTCAACCTCCCAGTAGTGACGGCCGGCAAAGAACGACTCCCGGCCCAGCACTTGCCAGAGCCGGTCAAACCGCAGTGGCCCATTGGGGTAAGACTTCTTCAGCCAGCCGCAGCTTACAGTTTCCCTGCTTTCGGACAGGCGCAGGCGAGGGTGCAGGGTGTCGGGGTCCAGTATAGGTGAGCGGGCATCTAAAGACACAGAAGGCAGCTAGGTTTACTGATATCCATAGACATATCTTCCATCCTCTCTATCCAATACAGGGTCATGGGAGAGTCAGCACCTATCCCAGTAAGCAACGGGCACAATGCGGGATTCATCTGTGTAGATTAATAACACTCAGACAGTGGTGAAATCATATGCACTCTTTTGTGAGTGCTCATGCCTATGTTAAAGAGCACCTGTTTCTGATTAAAGACCAGGCACTCATTTGGAGTCCCTCTCGCTTCCCACTATCTGAAGGCTCATCCTGTTCTGCTGATACTCAATTTTAGGAAGTGGCTAACGGACAACACAAAAGAAAATCTTTCTATTGTGTAGTTTTTGTGCCCCAAAACACTATCCTTTTTGGTTTTTTTACTTTGGTCCCTTCCTGATCCCGGTTATATATCCCAACAGTTTCTTGCACACAGGGGGACTGTTTGTGTGACTGAGATCACCTGGACTACACAATGGCACCCCTTTCTGAGAAATGAATAGTAACTTGTAGGATGCATAGACAAAGCAAAAAACTTGCTTTTGGTTGGTTCACTTCCACTTTTTTCTTAAGGGAGGATGATTACCTACTGAAAATAATACTTTGGCAATTTCCTTTTTTGTATAGCCATCATGTAAGCTATTGACGAACTAAGCTACGTGCTGCACTCCTCAAAACAGTCTAGGAAGGAGAGGTAATTATTATATCTGTCTCTTTTATGCAAATAGCACAGATTGCCTTTTCACCCTGGCATACCTGAGATAGCTAAACTCATCAGGAACCTTGTGACTCCTGCTTTCTCACATTGTTCATAGCTGACTATACAGCTCTGAAGTGTTAATGACATCAGATCGATGCACTGCACACAGAGACCTGCTATTTTGTCTGATAATAGCTTTGATGTTGTCATCCATCCATTTTGTAACCACTTCATCAAATTCAATGATAGTAGTCCTTAATTTAAGAACATTTCTTCTGTTTTATATTATTTTCTGTTCAAGACAGACTTGAGTTTCTATGCTTAACATAAAATCTGCTTTGTTACTTGTCTTGATGTTATTTCACTTAAATAATATTCATGGATGTGGTAGATAGCCTTCTCCCTTATACAGATTATTATTGCAAATTAAAAGTAGAAATTCTTAAACTAAGCTCCTTTGTTAATTCATGCTCTGTCATTATTATGCCCAGAGTGTTGGAGGTTTTAACTATCTAATTCAACTTCTGTGTGGAACCTACTCGTTCTTCTCCATGTGTTCTCCATGAACTGTGGTTTCTGTGAACTGTGGAGTCCAGAAATGTGCTGTCTAGGTTAATTAGCTACCTTAATATATCTAAGGGATCAATTAACTTATGATACAGTAGGATATTCAGTATCTGAAAATTATGCATATGCTCCTCAGCTTTGCAATTGTTTCTTTCATTCTTTCAAAAGCCTTTTTAGGTTGCTTAGTCCACTCCCACAGCACATCTTTGTGTGTCAGTTATCTAAGTCATTCACATATTTCTCAAATGTAACAGCAGAATTTGGCGATTTCCCAGGAATGTCTAAACACTTTTACATCCATTGGTCTGGGCAACTATCTGACGGTGGCAACATTACTTAGATAAACTTTCAGATCTCCAGCTGTCAGGAGGTGACCAATGTAGCACACGTCTTTCAGTCTGAGCTGTAATGTGTCTGCATTCAATTTAATATTGCACTCCCTGCATCTGTCAAGTAACTATCACAAATGTAGTGAATTAACTTGACATCTCATCCATTGGCACATGCCAGAAACCTTTCTTTATATTGCAAACAGGAGATACTCTGTCTTTACTCAAGTCTGGTAAACTTTTCTCAATGATTGGTAATAGATAATATCTTTCTTTTAAGGTGTCTGTTCAGTGGTTTGGGGTCTATACACAGTGTTTGCAAGTTTTCATGACTTGGTTTAAATATGCAGTCAACACCCTTTGAAGTAGCAATTAATATTTTCTATATACAGTACCTGCCCTATTCCATGTGTTCAAAGACAAGCACAAAAATGTAACAACTGTAAGTAATATGGAAAAAAATGAAAAGGTCATGATTGCATAAGGATTGAAACCCTTTGCTGTGGCAAAACTTTATTTTGAGTGCCCAAACTTATCCTAATGTGTCACAGAATTAGTTGAGAGGTCTCTGTATGCAATAATAGGTCCTTCAATTAGGTAGTGAATTTCAAACACAAATTCCATGAAGATCAAGAAGCTTTAAAAAAACTCTGGGATAATGTTGTGTGAAGACACAGATCATGTCGAAATTACAAAACCATTTCAAATCCCCGTAAGACTCTTTCATTATGGTGAAACTGATCATTTAGAACTGAGTCACTGTCTAGATGAGACTGTCCCTCCAACCTGAGCAGCTGAGCAAGGAGGAAGTTGGTTTGAGATCCTACCATGAGACTGGCAGCAACTTTGAAAGCATTACATTGTTCAGAGACTGAGATGAGAGAAATAGTCCATGGTTCAACAATATCCAGGTCACTCTACAAAGGGGCTTATACAGTATGGAACTGAAAAATAAAAAACTAAACTCCACCCTGAGGTTTGCAGAAAAGCAACTAAGTGATACTGTAAACAAGTGGCAAAATGTTTTGAGTCATTCTGGACAAAATTAAAACACTCTGGTCTATATGCAAAGCATTACATCTGACACAAAACTAAGAAATTGCATCTTTCAATCCACACCATCCCTACTGTCCAGTATGGTGGCAGCATTATGTTATAATCCTGCTTCTCATCAGCAGGGACTGGGAAGCTTGCCAAGGCTGACTGGAACAGAGATGGAGTCAAATACTGCCTATATTAGAGGAAAACCCCCTTCAAACCGAAAACCGGGACAAACATTAAGAATTCAGTAGGACAATAATCCAAAGCACAAGGCCAAAGCTATAGTGTCTTAAAATTAAGAAAGCTATTGTCCTTGAGTGAGTCCTTACTTGAATCTACTGAGAATCTATGGAAAAAACGTGAAACCAGCTGTCCATAGGTGATCACTAAATAACATGAGAGATCTTGACCAATTCTTCCAAGACAAGGGCTAAATTTGCACCAACCTGATGTACAAAGTTTTGTCTCAAACTTATCTTAATTTTAGAAGTCTAAACATGGTGGCATAATTGTGTAATTTCACATCAGTAATTTCCGGCCATGAAGTTTAAAAAGATTAACACTGTAACACACTAAAAGGTAACTCTGCAAACATACAGCAGACGTTATTCCAAACAATGGACACATTACATATGCACAGGAGGCACAGAACAAGACTTCAGAATGCCACGTGAATATATTTTGAGATAAACTAGGTAAAGATGATACACTGTTTCTTCCCTATGGATGCTTACAGTAACCAAGAAAACAGAAAGACAGCCGCAACAGAGGATGCAAGTCAGATAGAACCATAAATTGCACACATAGTTAATTATGATTTTTTAGTGGTTTATGGAGACAACGTTGGTTAGTACAACATTCCAGTCAAAGCAGGATAGTAAATGTTTACTGTGTACAGTAAACACCAATATTTTGCCAATGTTTATATTAAAAATGGAAAGGAGGAAATGAAATATACTGTAGCTTAATGGAAGAAGAAGTGAAAATACATAATCAGAGTGATTTACTTACATTTAAGAAAAGTGGACTTGTTTCCCAAACTTTTTGTTCTGTGCATTAATCCCTGCACTTGTCTGGCATCTGGTCCATTTGATATTCCTTGAATTACAATCAAGACACCTTAAATAACTTTATTAACATTCAGCATATGCCAACATACATGGTTACAAATAATAAGTCACTTTGAAAAAAATCATTAATCAAATGAGTGTTTTTTAATAAAGTACATTGTATTTCAAAACTGATAATACCCCTGATGAAAAAGGAACAATAAACATCAAATAACAAAATCTTTAGATTGGATGATGTTTCTTTAAAAAAATCTAAAAATGTTATACATGAATCTTAATAGCACTGTCCAAAGCAAAATTGTTTGTCATAATTGATTTAAGTCCAGTAAACACAAAGGTCACATTTATTCATACCGCTGTACTTAATATTTAGTAAACCCTACTTTGGCTGAGACAACACTTCAGAAGGGCAATGTATTAACATCCCTCCATGTAGAATTGCTCTAAGTCATTCAGACCCTTTGGTTTCTGTTAGTGAACTGGCATCCAGAGCTACAATCACAAACGTTCAATTGTATTGAGGTCTGGAGATTGTGACGGTCAACTTTTATTTTGTGCGCAGTTTCAACCAAGCTTGAGCTTCTTGGCAGAAAGAGCCATGCGTCTGACCAGAATGTCCTGGTACTTATTCATATTTGCAGCTCATAATTGTCCCTATGTTGAGAACGTCTCCAGGACTTGTACATGCAAAACAACCTCAAAATATAATAGACTCCTCAGAAAAGGTTCTCTATGGGCATTAGTGTTTTCTCAAATTGAGCTTTAGATATGCTTCAATGCTTTTCTTGGAACGAGGGCCTTTAATCCGTAGCCTTAAAGGCCATAATAATGTGCACAATTGTAGACTTGTTGATGTTTTTTTTTCTTCATTTTATTTAAAGGAATACATAGATGTGAGGAAACTTTTTTTCTGGAATTCAATTAATTTATGACAATTATGACTTGCCAAATATGGCACTGCATCATGCCTGTTGTAATTAAAATCTAACTTTATTAGAATTTCTTAAGGTAGCCACATTTTTGCTTCGATTTCATCAGGCAAATGAATAAATCTGGAGAGAACTGTATGGTAGTAGGCTGACACAGTAGCAAGGGACGCTGGGAGCAGTTTGCATGTTCTTGCCCCATGGATTTTCTCCAGGTGCGGCAGTTTCTTCCCACAGTCCAAAGACATGTTTTCTAGGTTAACTGGTGACTCAGAATTGCTCCCTGTACACAGTACGTATGTGTGTACCCTGCAATGAAAAGGTGTCCTATCCATGGTGATGTTGTATCCTGCCTCATGCCAACTGTCCACTCAGCTACTGTACTTATTGTCTCATCATGACTCCATAGCAGATTAAGTAGTGAATAAGTGGGAATGGATAAAAATATGTAGATCTTATTCGTCAGTTTAGCCACCATATTATTTCCAGCCAAATGAAAGGTTAAAAAATGAGATCAATCCAGAAACAAATTACAGCACCTTCATATGATGTATCATGAAAGGTGCAGTATAAAATAAAGGTAATCATTATTAAAATCACACAAACTGCTACATTTGAACAGATACAGCGGATAAAATAGATAGACTTGCCATTAGTGATCCGTTTCTCTATAGGCTTCTTCAAGATGGTCTGCAAAGTTTTTTGGAAACTAGAGACATAGCTATGCAAAGTGTCAAAGGTCAGGGGAACTGGGTGAATTTGGTCAGCTGGCTGCTGTTGAATCTGTATGTCTTTCTCGGCTGCTACAAAGTCCTGCAGAAGATAAACCATCACAGTTTTCAAGTCAATTGATTAATTTTAGTCTAACATGAAAATGAAACCTTGCTATACTCTTACATTTTTAAAATACTTTAGCACAATTTAATTTGTGGTCCCTTGTAATGCTGTGTGTTTATTATTACTGAGATGACTTGTAGCATAATACATTTGATATTTCAGAGCTTTTTTTAGTTGCACTTCAGTAATAGTGGGTCAAAACAGAAAAGCTCTCAAGGCTAGGTATTAGGCCTTATGTGAACACAGGAGTACTTTTGACAATGGTAGTTTTTCACTTAATAAATTAACAACGTGCATTATATACAGTACTTTTAAAAAAAACATCATGCAATTTAAACATTACAAGACATAAACAAAGTTCTTTCTTGTCACACTTCAATAAGATAATCACCAAACATTTTTTAGCCACCACTTTAACAGCCGTAATGTATAACTGAAATAATACAAGGACACTGAACAGAACTGAGGGCATAAAATGTTAATGAGTAGCATATCTCCATTAATAATGATAAAACAAATGTTTGCATAACCTTTGAACAGCAGGTTATATCTGTGAATATGATAATACCTACTCTCAAAATATTTCCCTTATTCTACAATGGGCTCTTGTCTTCTATACATTAATATTTTGCAGTGTTACAGCAAAAATAGTAACATCTGCTCTACTGGGATATGATTGTATAGTAAAAATATAGTTTCTTCATCAGGACAGGAATATATTAAAGAAAAGATGGCAAAATTAGGCATCAAGCTGTTTAATTGTTTTTGTATTTACTGTATCTTCCTAGATTATTCAGACTCATTGAGGTTTTTGTGTTCTAGCCTAGCGTATGAATGCATGTACTGTATGAATAGGAATTTATTAAAAAGTCTGGGGAACACTAAAAACAAAGACAAAAAAAACTTTACAGATATACCCCAATCCCTGATATCGTTTTTATATAAAGATATGTTGTATCTGTGCTACTGCCCTGTTGATACCCTGTGACACTGTTATGAGTATGTAGGACAGCATGCATTATCATTTATTTTATAGTGGAAAAGAAAGCAGAGAATTGGGAAAAACGTAAGCAAAAAAAGATTTAAAAAAGTAGAATACCTTTAGGAGCTTCACGCTGTCATCATGTTTGTAGATGTCTTGGACTGTCTGTGCAAAGCTGTCAGTGGCCTCTATGCGCCCTCGACAAGCCACGACCTGCTCATCATAGGCCAGAAAAGCTGCCTGCGTCTGCTCCTCCACAAAGCCCTTGGTCACTTTCTCCTCCTCATCCAGCAGCAGGCGCATTTCTGTGAAGCGCAGTGATAGCCAACCCTTGCTATCCTTGGCCAAAGCCTGAAACAGGATGTCAAACACAAGGAATAAAGAGTGGCAGGAGAAATTGGGTGGAACTGTGTTAGAGACACTAAAGAAGTAGAGTGGAGACTGTTAAGACGGGTTTTTTGTAACATACTTTAAATGCATCTGGCATTCAATTTTTTAAGAAATACATCTGTATTCATAAATTAAGTAAATAAGAATAAAACAAAAATAGCTTCATAAGGAAATGTATTTATTCATTAAAGACACAAGTAGACAGAACACTTGTGAATACTGTGAAAAAATAAGAAAAGGTTGCTCTTCACTGACCAAAATGTTTAATCTCATGGTCCAATATGGTGAGCTGTGTCGCTATACTGTATGTGCTATCCTTCGCATGAAAGGTTACACCGAAGTCCCGGCTGATGGACCATTAAAGAATTCACAGAATCTCTTGCACTTAATGGAGTGATTTCACCTTTTGGCTTTAACATTATTATTAAATATACAATATATCAAATCTTTGGGATGGATGTTTGAGGTGTTTGAGGTCAAAGAAATATCTTTGTAGTCCTGCTAAGTAGTGGAAAGAATGGAGAAGACAAGAAGAAAAGAAGATGTCTGTGTGTGTGGACATCTGAGGCGATACTGATTGTTGTTGTGAGGTTGATTAATCTGATTTTTAGTATCTGAAAAAAATTAAGTACAAAACAGAAATAATATACAAAATTAATAACAATGTGGCTAAATAATAGGGTGTATTTGATATAGCGTGTTGTTACAGAATAATGGCACTTCCTGACTTTTGTTGTGAGATTTAAAGAAAATGTAGGACATACTGTAGAGTTGTAATCTGGGTGCTCTAGCACTTACTGTATACGGTGACTTGTATCACATCTGGATATTTTTCTAGAAAAAGCAGACTACTTATACTAAACAGAGGATCAAAACCTCCATGCAAAACTGCTTCTTCTCTTTGGGAACTGTTTTCCTGAACTATGTTACAGAACTGAGAACTGAATGACACTGTGCTGAATCTTAAAAAAATCTTAAATCTTGATTCCTAAAAAAATAAAACCTGATTTTTTTTGTAAATGATAATTAAGTAAAATAATATTTACATTGTCTGGGGTAGGCATAGAACAATGCAGATGCTTACCCCGTGTGCTGAGATAGTTAATGCCGTTAATGCACTGTGCTTGTTTCCTAGTTGGAACTAGCCAAACCACATTTGGAAAAAAGAATCCTTTAGTTTCACTTTCAGCGAAATGAAACTTAAGCACTCATCTTAAAAAAAAGAGCAAATGGTCTTGTGATTCATTACCTTGAGATCATCAGCAGCCTTTTGGATCTGATTTACATTGGCGTTTTCTTGCTTGTTTTTACAGTTCAGCCTGTTCAGGCAAACTCTAAGAAGATTCTGCAATGACAGAAGCAAGAAAAAAGAAAAAGATGTTCACGAAGATCATATATAGACACTATAATGTGTGCTCTTTAAACATAGGTGTTATACATTATACTGTATAATTCTAGTTTCTTCCCATTACCAACAGGTTATAATAGTATTGTATATATTGTAAAATATACTGTATAAGCAATCCTAAAGAATAAAATAGATTTTAATTATGATTTAATATTAATTTAATTATTACGATTATTTTTAGAATTAAACTTGGATTTTGGGATTGATGATTTTTTAAATAAAAAATGAGAAATAATATATAAGAATATTTATTCATTAAATATTTATTTATTAAATCCCTTTACTAAATATCTAAATGTAAGCAACAGCATCAATATTATGATATTATGATATAATGATATTATTTTTATACAAAACACTTCTTTTTTTTCAAAGCTGGTATCATTTATGGATGGAACTATTCACACAACTATGTGTCTCACTTTACTGATACAGGCAAATTATACAACTTCACATAAAAGCCTAAATACATATTCTGTATAAGCATATCATTCATTCATAGTATTCATTTCCAAATAAAGACAATTCTGTGAACACAAATCTAATTATTTTCATGCCTGGCAAGAATAAAGTGAAAGATGGAGAGCTAATTAGGTTACAGCATAACAAACAAGAGATAAATCTTTGGTACTATATTCCACATGGCAAGATTAACATTTAAGATGAATACATAAAGAGGTACAAAATTACTTGGAGTATAAAAGCCATACACAAACACCCAAAACAAGAGATAATTTGCACAATCTGCAAAATCACTTTGAACATAACAGCCAGATAAGTGCAGCATTAATCAATGGGGCCAATGCCCCAATGTTCTCAAGAAAAATCACTCACTGCATATGTTATGGTGCAATACCAGATCTCCATACTGCTGCTGGATTATCTTCTAATTTTTGGCATGATAAGAACAAAGCCAAGTGAATCACAGACTTTCTAAAGTGAATTTCTAAAAAAATCAGAAAGCTTGAGTTGTTCACCTGTGACCCAAAACCTGGCCTCAAGTCTCTATTTTTTTATATGAGATTTGTTTTTTGAGACTTGGTACTTGATAAAAACTGACTTGGATACATGTTTACAGGCATTATAGGCCTTCAGTCATCTTACTTGAATCTTCTGAAAATGTTACTTGTGAATTTGAAAGAATTCAAGAGAAACCATGGCTGCCAAGAAATCAACCAGTCTGAGTGCATTCAAAGACACAGCAAACACTTCCAAGACAGACACTATCCACAAAACGTACTTGCATGCAGCAACAGGACGTGAAGACCAAAAAATCACTGGCTAAGAATATGAAAAACATATTTGTTTATGCAAGATATATGTTTATGCACAGAGAACACATCTTTTAGTCATCCATCCATCTTCTAACAACTTTATCCCATATAGGGTCACAGGCAAACCAGAGCCCATCCCAGCAGGCAACAGGCTCAATGCAAGATACACCCTGCCACTTTTGTTTGATTATATTCTTTAATTAGTTATTCAGAAGGCCAAATTTGCTGTCTCTTACTATAATTCCCACCTTGACTTCCTAGAACTATCCAACAGATTCAGAAATAGATTAGCTTGACAGTTAGTATTAACTAAGGGGGCCAAACAGGTACACTACCAACCAACAGAGATGGAAACAATCTGGTCTGATAAGAAAGAGTTAGTTACCCGTTTCTCTTGGGCCTCTTGGTCAATTACACTGATGCGGTGGCCTTGGTGACAGCCTAGTATCGGGCAGACGTTGCAGACACAGAGCTTGCACTCCTTGCAGAACATCTCCAGTGGCTTCCCATGATCCAGGCAGCAGCTCCCACTCAGATCCTCACTGGGTTCTGTCAGCCGGTGGCTGCGAAAAGCCTCCCCTGCCAAATGGGGCTGTAAATGACCCTCACAGAAAGAAGCCATGCAGGTTAGGCATGACTTCAGGGCCGGCAGCTTCTCGCCCAGGCAGAAGTCACATAAAACGCAAAAGGGAGCATGTGACTTCAAAGGGCACTCCGAGAGGCCATTAGTAACTGGCAGGTTTAAGCACACTGGACAGCCATGGTCAATATTAGGGTGGTGGCACCAGACTCGCTCAATACAAGCCAGACAGAAAGGGTGCCAACAGGAAAGCATGACAGGCACTTTGCTAACCCCCTGGCAAACTCCACAGATGGGCTCTGAGATGGAGAATCCCTCTGCCATCTTGACACTTCCTTCTAGGCTGCACACAATGAGCTAAGGCTAACGCTGACACAAAGCACCGCCCTCTATTCGTAGTATGATTTCAGCAGCACTGTCCAAGGGTCATTTTCCTGCTGCACTTCTCCTGGAAAACAAACAAAATACAGTACATACAGCACCTCGATAGTGGATGTATTGTATCAAAAGGAAATGTGGAAAATGTGTAAAATATTGTACAGCCTTAGGATCAGTATAATTAAAAAAAAAATTCAATATAGTATTTGTAAATATGTCTTTATTTATTCTAAAAGGGTATCTGTGCCAATTGCTATTTCAATATGTTTATTACAATTTTAAACTGCGAGAACAATTGAAGAGCATTACTACATTAAAACAAAACAGAACAAGTAATAGGTTATTCCATGCTGAAAAGAGAAGAAAGAAAACACAACGTTTCAGCATGCAATAAACCTATTACTTGCTCCTTTGCAGCATACGCATGCTGACGCAACTACCCACCTGAACAAATAATAGTATGACATTAATATTGCCTGATAAATAAATCGAATTATTTAACATAGATTTCTTAAAATTATTAATATAATGATAATCTAATATAATATAAAGATATAATACATCTTTACTTTTCATGCTCTCCCTGTGTTCGTGTGGGTCTCCAGTTTCCTTTCACAGTCCAAAGGTAGGCTAATTGTAAAATTGGCCCTGGTGTGAGTGTGTGCATCTTTGTGTCTGTGTGTGTGCCCTGTCCTGGATGGGTGTCAAGTCCTGGGTGTATCCCACTTTGCACCCAATACTTCCAAGGACAGGCTGGAACCAATAAAAAGCCAGATGAAGAGAAACTTATAAAAAAAAAGTTTTAATAAATCAAAGTAAATATATAAAAAATTGCTTTAAACTGTGAACCAATTCAACCTACAGAATGAAAACTTTACCTACTGTAAATCTAACAATGTGAGCTGCACTGCATCTTGCCAATGATTGCTCATTTATGTATTTGGTTTGTTAACTGTTGCAGAGTTAAACTCACTAATGTTTTCAACAGAAACATTTTTTTAGCACATGAACCATCTTTACTGCCTTAATATTTAAAATGAATGTTATACAGCAATATTTTAGTGGGTAAACACCCTTTTTTTCTGCACAATCATGTTATGATGTTATATTAATTCTGGCGAGATTTAGCTTCAAAGGTAAAGGTAAAGTAAGTCGGTTGTGACAATGAAGATTTTCGAGTTAAGATATGTGAAAGGAATGCCTGGGAATTTTGTTCCACCTTTCAACAGCATGCAGTTAGCAAACAGGTTTTGTAGTTGCTGTTTTGTTACCATAAAAAGATGATACATTATTTACTGTAGCTACTGTAAACTGACATCAAACCCTTCAAACCATATTGTAATCAATTTTGTTGAGATTAGAATCCATCTGTCTAATTCCAACACACAAGGATTCTACTGGACTCTAATACAATACATGTAATGCTTACTTTTACATGCAAAATCAAGTCTTTCACGTTTTTTCCTACATCATTGGTCACTTTTTTATTGAACAATGCGACCTCTACTTAGCCAGACGTCCACCACTTGTCTTATTTACATAACTTTGAAACTAAAAAAGAAACACTTCATGCGTACAGTATCTGTATTCATAGATGTGAACAAAAAACATATTACATCCTTTTACTATAATATGCCGACTGAATGAGTGAACTTTTCAACAGGAGTTTAATCACTTTAGACAAAGCACCACCCTGTACGTTTTAATTGTTTAATATTATTACGCCTTCCAGTCCAAACACTTTCGTGTTCTATCCATTTCTCGCACTTCCGAATACGGAATGGTTATTGGTGCATATAAAAAATTCATACGTGTACAGTACAAATAACAAACTCGCCACTTACCTCATTGAAGACTGTGCATGTAAGAAATTTTCAGCATGTTTTGTGCCAGATCACAATGCCAGATCACTCGAATCTGAAGCATACAGTTTCACTACCGCCACAGCACCGTCTAATCTGCCTAGTTCCTGATGAATATTTTAAGTTGAATTATTCTGATTTGTTCACTAAATGTTGGAAAGCATCGGCATAGCCTATTACTGTGCCATTATTTGACAAAGAAGAAAAATATACGTAATATCGTAAACCAAATGCCACATGACTTTGCCACAATTGCTGCTATTATTGTTGTTATAAGGGTGTCAGACGAACAGGAAATAAGTTCATTCTGCAGTGTATGTCAACGTCTTAAAAGACTATGAGCTGTCTGCGCAGAACCTCAGCTGACATTTGTTAGGTATTGACTCCCTCTACTGCGCAAGAGACCATAGCTAGCTATATGGAATACAGTGAATATCCGAACACTTATTCGACCTGAGTCAGAATTTTCTCTGTTAGGCTTACAAATAGTTTTCAAACACGTACAATAATTTTATGTGATCCGAGTACTATGGGAATGGATACGTGCTTTAGTCAAGAAGTCAAGAAATTAAGTCAAGAAATGCACTCTTCTATATTCAACTCTTAAGTTTATTAGCCTCGCATGCTTGTATTGGTACACTGAAAATCGAAATGAAAGAAAACGCAACGAGTGTAAGGTGAAAATAATGCGTCATTTTAAACGGTAAAGCGCCTTTAATCCCAAAGCCCACAGCGCTGTACAAATCGAAGGAGGCCAACCTCATATAGTACATCACTGCATAAAAACAAGAACAAGACATCAGGATAGCCGTCCTCTTAATAATAGTGCCATGAGATCGTTAAAAAACCAAGTAGCCAAGATCTCTGTTTTAGATCTCATCTGAACTGTGGCATCTCCTTAGTACCGTCTCTCCGGTACTGTACTGGTGCACTGGATAGGAAATTCTGCGGCAGAGGTAAGTGTGCCTCCTGCATATGCTGCAGCAATGTACATGTAAATCTAGAAATCCACCATCTCACCTCTAACAAGGCCCACCTTGCTTAACGCTTGAGATCTGATTTTAAGGTGATACCAGTGATACCACTGGTGCATTTCATTAGGATAAAGGCAACTGATATTCCTGTCCTATTTCCTATTTTTCCTAGAATAAAGAAGATTATTGTTGCTAAAAGAGTAGTTTATGAGTGCACATGTAACTGTCATTTAATGCTTCTGTTGTTTTGTTAAGACTTGTATTTTGTACAGAATTTGAATAATGAAATCGTGAGAGAATTACTATTTGGGGTTTTATGTTATTTAGCAAAGTGAAAAGGAAAAGAAAACAGCTGCTTGTTTCTCTTCCACAAATTGTGAAACTAGTATCTACAGTATTCAGGTGAAACATATTGCTTTTCACATTTGTTGGATTAACAGCGGTCTCCTGGTGGTATGGTGAAAACAGTATATCCTGAAGTGATTCCCTTTAATTTTCCCTTGCAGAGTCAGCAGTGTAGTAGGAGAGGCAGGAGACAGAAAATGCAGCTTACTGATTTTATTACCCTTTTTATTTACATGGTTGCGCTGCGGAGAGGAGGCTAAGGGAGGAAGGCATGGAGAGGAGAAATGGCTACTGCTGCCCATCTCAGAGTGACTTGAAAAAAAGAGCGAATGGAAGAAAAGTTGTTCCTTTTTATAAAGGACAGGGGGAGAGGAAGTGAGCTTGAAAAAAGGGAAAGAGATCAGAGGTTGCCTGGGTTGTTTGCTGTTGGGGCAGAACACTACAATGTAATACCAAAAAGTTACCTAACTGGTTTATCCAATACAAGGTTGCAGGGGAGCCAAAGCCTATCCCAGAAAGCGAAGAGCTCAAGGCAGAATACACTCTGGACAGTTTGCAGGGCACACACAGACTCACCCCAAGGCCAGTTTTCTTAAAAGCCAATTGATCTGACTGTATATCTTTAGATTGTGTGAGGAAACCAGACCAAGCATCACACAGATAGAACCCCAGGTCCAGAACTGAACCCAGGGCCCTAGCACTGCAAGGTACTGTAGCAATGCTAATCACTGTGCCACTGTGGTGCCTCTATCATTTTTATCTTCCTATATAACATATGGTTTACCAAAACCAAAAACAATTTAAGTGTAAATTACAACCACTGTTACCTGTACCTGAAGTGCAGTAATGTGTTGAAGCAATGTCAGGACTGTGTAGGGATGAAGAGGCACTGAGAGATCCTCAGCTTCACACAGGCCAATTAACCCTGTCACTGAGCAGGGCAGTATGAAAGTGAAGGACACTGCTAAGAGCTTTGTTCATCCTTTGGTCCTCAGGTTTTGCTGTTTGCCCTCCAGGATATGTGCTTTGTCTTCTTTGACATAGATCAAGTTGAACATGTTGGACATTTTAATCGGAAGCAAAAGAGGGGAAAATATTCTCCATTTTAAAAACTAGTGGAGAAAAGTTAACATTTCTAAATTTGCTATTTATTTTATTTGCTTTCATTTGCTATTAAGGTATCCCCTTAATAGATCTTTTTATAGAAATAGGGTTTTATATCTTAAAATGAATTTTGATGCTTTCAAAGCAACCATTCTTGGATATTAAGGATTTGTTTGATTTTTGATTCATGTTAAATGTTATTTTACTTTTCTTTTTATACTGTATATAGGACCTATATTTAATATTTTGATCATTGTCAAATGTACGCCAGCAGCCATATCACCCTGTCACTCACAACTGGCAACCCACTAAAGCTAGGACCCACCCATGTGGGTCCTAATGCCCCAGTATAGTGACAGGGACACTATACTGTAAACATGCGCTGTCCTTTGGCTGAGATGTAAAACTGAGGTCCTGACTCTCTGTGGTCATTAAAAATCCCAGGGCGTTTCTTGAAAAGAGTAGGGGTGTAACCCCGGTGTCTTGGCCAAATTTCCCATTGGCCCTTACCAATCGTGGCCTCCTAATACTCCCTGTCTGCTCTCCTCCCCACTGATAGCTGATGTGTGGTGACTGTTCTGGCGCACAATGGCTGCCGTTGCATCATCCAGGTGGGGCTGCACATTGGTGGTGGTGGAGGGGGGTCCCCATTACCTGTAAAGTGCTTTGAGTGGAGTGTCCAGAAAAGTGCTATGTAAGTATAAGTAACTATTATTATTATTGTTGTTCTGCAAAGGTTTTTGTGACTGAAAATCTAAAAATATCATCAAATATTGCATTACTTATTTTAAAATTCATACTGTACATTCCATAAAAAAGGTGAAATGGTTATTATGTGTCAATGTGCTGGATTTTATAGATGTTGATAGAGTGGAGCTCTGGAACAAGCTGTGGCTGAACACCATTTTTGTTGTTCTAGAAAGGTAAAACCACTTGGGGGAGCTGTTGTAAAACAAATATAAACCTTGGAAACCAAAACAGCTTGTAAACATTTGAGGAGCAATCTATGGGGAATTACACTACCTCTTTGCTTTTATCTGTCTATTTTCAATCCATTTTTTACATGCAGATACTGTAGCACCCTAGTTCAGAATTAAATCCAGGTTCCCGGTACTCCAAGGCAGTGATGCTGGCCACTGTGCTACATTTGTTTCCATGGTAAATTAATTTAAAGGTTATTTTTTACATATTATATTTGCTTCCAATAGATTTTCTTTTGTTTTTGGTGATATGTTTTCATTGGCTTGCCTGGTGGCTATGATAAATTATGAAACAGATTTAAGATTTTAAGATTTAAAGATTGATTTAAGACTGTATTTTGACCCATTGACCAAAGGCCCTGGAAAAAACAAAAACTGATGTCTAGTATTGGGCTTCTAGTTCTTTATATGATTGGTATGCTGGTCAAAATTGTGATTTAATCCAGTTCTTTAAAGGCTTATCCTTTGTCATCTCTGGTACTTAAGACATCTGGATTGAAGCACAGAGAAAAGCCATAATCACTGACAATACACTTGTTGAATCACTGTTTTATAACAACAGAATTCAAATGAAGGAAAGAGGCTGCCTTGATTTTTTTTGTGCTTATAAGTAGCCTTAATATAGAAATAACAATGCAAAATGGGAAGTACGTTTTGCTCCAGATTGTTTTCTAATATATTTGATACAATGCGCCTGAAAGCAAATATTTCAGAAAATTAAGGAAAAACACAAGGGCATACAGTAATTAGCAACTATTGCATAAACTTAAACATGAAATAGTGTAATGCTATCAGTATCGCGTCTTTTATTTGTACTGAACTGGAAAAAACTAAGTAATGTAATTGTACATTTTTAAAATATTGCAAGTGCAAAATAACTCACTCCCCAAAAGTATTTTTTATCTTCATTTTGCTTTGATAGTATAGAGTTGGCACTTTTCCATGCAACCATTTACTAGTTTCAGCACTTCTCAGTAGGGGTTTTTCAAAAGTAGATCCAAGCAGATCTCTTCTGACTCATTCATTAACATCTTTCACTTGTGAACATACTGAGGTCTGAAGATTGTGGTGACCTATCAAGAACATTGATTATATACTTCCTTATCAATTTAACAGTAGATTTAGAGGTGTATTTTGGGTTATGATCCTACCAGACAGTCCTTTTGTAACCAAAATCTAGATTCTTATCCAAACATGACACAGATTTTTGGATAAAACATCCTAATATATTGATATCTAGCCAGCCCACAATTTTTACAAGGGCACCAGGACTAGGGGATACTAATAGCCCAACAGAAGAACAGATATATTTATTAGAGATGAAAATATTTTTCAATCTGAGCTTCATCTTTCCATGATAATCATACTCCTGGTGTGATTGCGTCACAAATTTTTTTTTTTTTCATCCATCCACATCATATGGTCTCATTTCTATTGGAATCAATAAGTTGCTGTCTGGACAAGTCTCATCTTCTCATTGCCAAGGAACTCTGCCACCAACTCCACTCATGAAGTCACACTGACCTCAGATGGTAGTCTTTAAGACATTGTATCCTGATTATGTCAGATATTTATGAAGATTCCTAGTTGCTACTTTTGTGCTTTTTTCTTCCCAAACCACTTTTCTGACCACATTGTTGAGAAATGTTTTCTTGTGTCCACGTCTTGGTCTAGTAGCTGTAATCAAATTAGCCATTAACGTCTTGGAAATGGACTCCACAGTCAGTGCTGGGATGCTTTATGGATTAATTTGTAGTGGCCTGTGGATTAATGTTGCCTGTGGTAGCTCCAGGGAGTATCACTAAGGTTTAAGTTTAAGGTTTAAGAAGATGGAAATTTCTCAAAGCTAACTGCTAAATAAGCAAGTGCTCTGCTATGCAGGAAAAAGGAACTAGGAGATAGTCTGAGCATTTTACAAAAACAGACTCAAGTCAAAAACAAACTGTGCAGGGCAAGATTAAATTTGTAGGCACAATTAGAATCTTTAACATCATAAGATGGCAGACAATAGATCAAAGAACATCAGAAGGGTTACAAATGAGAGGTCATTTGGCCCATCCAGTGTGTTTGGTAGTTAGTAATTAATCCAAGGATCTCATCCAGCCATTTCTTGAAAGAAATGAAATATCTGTTTAACAACATGACTGAGTAATTCGTACCATACTTCCACAAGCCTTTGGGTAAAGAAGCCTTTCCTACTCTTGATTTTAAATACCTTCAATGTAACATTCTCAAGAGCATTCTGGTCCATG